CCGACCCTACCCTGCCTCCCAGCCAGTGTCCCTCCCCAGAGATGAGTCATGTTAACGTTTTCTTCCGTATTCTTCCAGAGACAACATGAGCACATACAGACAAATATGCATGTATGTTTTTGTTTTTTCCTTTTCTGTTTTGCCGCCATGGGGATTGATTATACATATTCTTCTGCACCTTGCTCAGGTGAAGTGATGACGGGAGATAGAGAGGTGTCTAGGGCCATTTCTTGGAGGGCCTTGCAAGGTGTTTTGATTTTATTTTTAGTGACATGAGAAGCTCTTGGAGAGTTTTGAGCAGGATCTGGTGTTAGAAGTTCATTGTAGCTTTTGGGTCAAGAATAAATGAAAGCAAGATTTAAGACTCTTAAAGAGACTAAACAAGTATAGAAGAGAACGTGTACCAGTTTTATAATCAGAAAAAAATATTGAAAACATTTTTGGAAACTTGAACACTACTAGCTTTCTTCCATTGTATTTTTCATGAGAAAAACAGATGTTTGATCTATAAAATAGGTCCCTTGGTACCTAGAATTGAGAGAAAACTAAAGGATTCCCTAAAATGATGAGGTATCAGAGAGTAGGATCCCACTAGCTATGCTTGTCTCTCAAAATGATTTCTTACTAACTCAGTGGAATTAGATAACTAATCGTTATCTAAGGTAGACTGCAAAAACGTGTTTGGAGTAGGACAGAAAGGAATGGAATGTGGAGGACACTCCACCGAACTAAGCGATAGATTACTATTAATATAAAATAGGCTCTAACACTTAGATCACAGAATTTTTCTGGTATTTGGGGCTTTTCAGTTATCTATTGCTGCTCAACAAACCACCTCCAAACTAAGTGACTTCAAGCGACAGCGATTTATAGGTTGACTGGGCTCAGCTGGGTGATGGCCCTTCTCCACATGGTGAGGCCAGAATCCCTCCGCAGCTTCAGTCCTCTTAGAATTTGGCTGGGGCCATTATGTTCAGGACGGCCTCTCATCTTCCAGGGTCTATGTGCACTTGACCTCAGTAATCTGGGCTGAACCTCCTGACCCCATGGAGGCTGACTTTCAGATGGGAGCATTTCAAGAGAAGTGCTTATCAAGCCTCTGCTGGCATCATGCTTTCAGTGGCCAAGCCCACAGTTAGGGTGGGAGGGGACTAAACAAGGGCATGAATACCAGGAAATATCATTCCCTGGGGCCACCAGTGTGACAGTCTACCACTTGGAGGCACAGGTGTTTTGAGGCTCTAAGACGGTTGAGAATGCTAGCCTTTAAGACTGCAGGACAGCTGAGGCAGGGACTTCCTGCCCGATCTGGTTACTGCTACTCGGGATGCGTCCCTGCCCTAGAATCTGCTGTAACTCTTTACCTTTTCGAAGCACAGTTTTTACATCTTGTTTCATTCTAAGTTCTTCCCGCCTCCCTGTGCTCCCTTTAAACTGCTGTGCTTTGGATAGATTCAGTGACAATTTTCCTGATATTTTGTCTTCTTTATGTTCCTTCCTAAGCATATGGTCAGTATAGTACTGAACACAGTAGGTTCCTTTTCCCCCTTCTCTCTAAGGGGTTATTTTTTCCTCTAAATTATGATCCAGGTGACTAAGATGCCCTTCATTCATCCACTGTTCATCCAGTACCCACTGCATTGCCTCATCCGGGTGACACAGCAACAGCCTTCATTTCCGAAGAGCTTACATTAGAGTGTGGGGAGTAAGACAGTAAGAGAGTAAACAAGAACAAAATTTCAGCTAGTGAGAAATGCTGGGGAGAAGATAAAACATGATCACGTGACAGTGAGCGGGGTGCAGGTGGGGCTGCTTTAGTTCGGCTGGCAGATTGGACCTTTCTGAGGAAGGACATTTGAGCTGAGACCTGAGTGTTGAGCAGCCATCCATCCTGACAGATAGAATGACCAACCATCTCAGTTTGCCTGGGATTGAGAGATTTCTCAGGACATAGGACTTTCAGTGCTAAAATCCAGGACAGTGTGGGCCAAGCAGAATGGTTGTCCAGTCCAGGAAGAGGGGACAGCAAGTACAAGGCCCAAAGTCAGGAGGAAGCTAGGCATTTGGAGCAGTGACGGGAGGCCAGTGAGGCTGCAAGTGTGTGAGAGGGTGGGCCGAGGCAGGCAAGGCTGGCCGATCAGTGGATGTTGGACCACGTGGGTCCCACTAGGCCTAACCAGTAGTTCGGATTTTATTATAATAAAATAATAAAATTTTATTATATAAAATGTGTTGGGACGCCACCGCAGAGTTTCAAACAGGGAAGGACATGGCTTTATTTACATTTGTAATTGATCACTGACAAGTGTGTGAAGAGTAAAATACAGGTGTGCCAGGGTGGACACGGGGGCACCAGCTGAGAGCCTGGTTCAGTCACCAGGCTCGAGATGACGGTGGCTTGGGCCAGGGGAGTGAGCTGCTTGTCACTACCAACCCCACGCTGCTGCTTCTCTCGGTCTCTTCCTCGCCTCAGTCGGTGGCTTTTTAATCCACAAGAGCTGCTTTGCTAAGTACAGAGAGTCGCAGGTTTACTGCTTGGGCACCAACCCTCAGTCTTCCTCGCTCCTCACAGATGCTTCATCCGGTTTTCGGTACTTTCAAGGTACTTGAACACGATAATACAGTTTGTTTTTTTTTAAAGTTATCCATGGTTTTTCTCATAGGGCCAGACTGAGTTATACTTTTTTTCTTAAAGTGATTGATTTTTATCTTGGATGCTTTGAAAGGTTATATTTAGAGTCGTGAGACATAAATAGAACTATGATTGGTGCAGGTTAATCTAGCGGGAGGGTAGGGGTAAAACGCCATGGTAATATGTGGATGTGTTCGATTTTAGGCAACAGTAGGCTATTCAGGTCCAAATGCCGGGCAGTGGGAGGCAGTTAGAGAAATGGGACTGGCTCTCGGTGGCAAGGATGGGTCTGTATGTAGAGCGTGGGATCGCCCCTGGGGGAGGGCACTGATTTGTTTGTTCAGCAAGGCATCGAGTGTTTATTGTGTGCCTCTAAGTGCTGGGAATGTTATAACGAACAACACAGCCAGGATCCCGGCTCTCGGGGAGCTGGCATTCAGTTGGGGTGGGGGAGATAGAAGGGCAAACAATAAACGAATAAGATAATTGCATAGAGTGGTGAGTGCTGTGAAGGAACAACACAGGGTGGCGTGCTCTGGCTTGAGCGGGTAGTAGAGGAAATTCTTCTTTAGACTGGGAATCAGGAATGGCCTCTTTGGGGAGGTGACATTCTACCCGAGACCTGAATGATGGGAAGAGCCAGCGATGGGAAGATAGAGGTCTTGGACACCAGAGGCTAGGTCTAGTCCTAGGCAAGCTCTTGTTTAAGTAAGTGGAGATGTGGAACCAGCAAATAAGACAGCAAAGAAGGCCGAGACTGTTGGCTTTGCCCGCTAGCAGAGTGCCTTGTGTGTAGCTTCAGGTTAAAAAGGAGCAAAGCAGGATGTGGGCTACCACCGAGGCCGGGGAAGGCTAGCAACCACAGCACAGCCTACATGGAAGTTAAGGAAAAGGCGATGGTTTTTGTGTTGGATTGCTCGTGGACCATCAGGAATGTCCACTGGATAGGGGTTGCTGAGTTAAGTAATGGCAAAGGGGTTAAGAAGCAGGAGTGAAGAACTAGGAGCAACAGTTTTGGACTCTTAAGAAATTCTTTCCCTTATCATTTGCGAATGTGTCATATAAGTCTCTGTACAGCTCCCTCCTGACCATGCTCCTGAATTTGCTTGCTTTCTCTTCCCCCTTACATTACGAACCTTTCACTTTGGACTCCTTCTTTGCTTCTTATTTGCTGCTTATAAGCCTTGCCACTTTGCACTCCTATTCCCTCTTATCTCTGTACCCCATGGCTGCAGTCCAGTCCTGGTCACCTTCATTGGTGGCACTAGTTTCTGAGAGTCCAGCCAGATCCAGGAGCCCAGGTCTGGAAGGGGGCATTAGAATGCAGAGGCTGCATGAGATATAATTGAGACATTTGACAGCGAATGGAAGTGGAGAAAAGGGATGATATTTCCATGGGACATCAAGATTTGTTTAAGATTCCGGAGACCTGTGAATATTTGAAACCAAAGAGAAGGAAGTCAGTCGAGAGGGAGGGAGACGCTGACAATGGAAGGGCAGAGGGAGTTCATTAAGGGAGCAGTCAAAGCGGAGGCAGGCGCAGGAGGCGTTAACCTCCAATAACAGGCGAAGTGCTTCTTCCTCTGAATTAAGAGGAAAGGAAGAATGAGGCTGGAAACAAAGATTCTTGAGTTGAAAGAGAGAAGAGTGCAAGCAGCTTAGAGTAAGTGGTCTGGATCTTTTTAGCACTAAAGAAAGCCAGGTGGTCTGCTTCAAGTCAAGCTCAAAATGGGTAAAGGAATTTTGGAATCACCACTCCAGGGATTTTGCTGGGGAATAATCAAGTGATTTATGAGGAACTGCCAAGCACCAGCAAGGATCCAGTTGACGTTGGCATGTATTTTTAGCAGACAGAGTCTGCCTTTCTCTAGGATTGCTCTGCCAGTACCCAAGCAGCTGAGACTAATGTTAACTGCTGTTAATACAGAGTTTGGATTTTAGCCACTAATTATATTTCAAGAAGACATTATCTTCATAGTTGTACTTAATATTAACAGTAAATCAAAAACTGATTTGTTTTCCTCTCATCATACTTGTTACCTGTCAGAAGCTTGTAATTAGTGAGAGCTGCCTGTGGAATTCAATATAAGGAATTTTAATCAACAAGCTTTCATAGAATTTATTAAACTTGGCTCATTAATTTTAGAACCTGAGCTGTTATGAAAAATGAAAGCTCTCAGACTTAGCCTTTCTTTTGTCCTCAGTAGCTTCTGTTGAGCACGTAAATTTCGAGGTTCTCTCTACTCAACTGCAGTTTTTGGAAGTGATTTTCAGCAACCAGATCACGCTAATGCAATTCTCAAGCAGAAATTTGCTAACTAAACGGAAACAGATATCATTTAAGGACCTCTTTTTCTTTCAATATTAGGTCGAAAATGGTGTATACATAGCCAGTCCACTTCAGGAACGCACAATTCTGATGAGAAAAGAGGGCGAGTCGGCGAAAAGCATTAACGAGATGCTTCTGAGCAGACTTTCCCGCTACAGAGCTTCCCCGTCTGCAACGCTGGCCGCCCTGACTGGCTCCACCATCTCCAACACACTGAAGGAGGACCAAGCAGGTACGCTGCCCCGCGCTTACCACCTGTTAACCTTCTGTAGCTCCATTCAGCTACGCATGTCTTGTATAAGACTTTATTTTTTAGAGCAGTTTTAGGTTCACAGCCAAATCGGGAGGAAGGTACAGAGATGTCCCATGTACCCCCTGCCCACATATGCGGAGGCTCCCTCTTTGTCAGCATCCCGCACCAGATGGTACACTTGCTACAGCTGATGAACCTACACGGACACATCATCATCACTCAAAGTCCACAGTTTACCTTGGGTTTCACGTTGGTGTTGTACATTCTATGGGTTTGGATAAATGTATGAATACATGTATTTATCATTGTGGTTCATACAGAATTGTTTCACTGCCCTAAAAATCCTTCATGCTCTACCTGTTCACCCTCTCCACCCCCAACCCTCGGCCACCACTGATTTTTTTTGTCTTCATAGTTTTGTCTTTTCCAGAATGTCATATAGTTGGAGTCATATACCATGTAGCCTTTTCAGATTGGCTTCTTTCACTTAACAATAGGTATTTAAATTCCTCCATGTCTTTTTATGGCTTAATGTGTTCAGCTTATAATTAGTGAGAGCTGCCTATGGAATTCAGGCAGTACTTTTTTTGAACACTTACAGTGTGCCATAAAAGCACTTTGCTTTACGTAATTCACCTTTTTCTCTTTCCAGTCATTGTCCATTTTCAAATTCCAAGCTAATACATGGTTTTGGCTACGGACGTGAATTAGCATGAATCTATAATTATTCAAAACAGCATTATCTTTCACTTAAATAGCTTCTCATTATTGTTTGTATAAATTAATCGGTTTCATGTTTAGCATATGCTTCATAAATATAAAAAGCTCATATTTATCATCACCTTCACTAAATACAATCTTGACCAAGCAAATAAGAGGCAAAACTTCCACAGCAGAGATTGCTTTTTCTAGAATTTATCATTTAGTGTTTGTACTTTAATAGTTTAAAACAGATAGGACATTTAAAAAGTTTGAAAGTGAAAACAACATAAAAAGGTAGATGCAGAGAAATCTTACTCACACCTCAGTGTGTTCTATATTTTGCCCCCACCCTGCCACCTGTATTTATTAGTTTTTATCCTTACAGAGTTTATGTTCATCAACATGTCCCCTCTCCCCTCTTTTAAGTAACATCTTTATGTATCCATCATAGTTTTCATCAGATTTTCAAGGTCATCTATGGCCCAAAAAAGGTTAAGAACCATTTTTCTTGAAGAGTTTACAGATTATATACCGACTGTGTGAATTTACAAGAGATCATCAACTGTTGTAAAAGTATAGCTAGAAAAAGATGCCATACGTAGAAAAATGTATGTAAATTAATGTTTAATGAATTTAATGCAGTTTTATGACTTAATTCTTTTATGTATTAAACTATTATTTTATGTATTAGGAAGAGAAAATATTTGTGATTAATTTATTGAGACTATCAGTTTATATTAGAATTTAGAGATAATATTTTATTTCCAATAAAATTGTATCAGATTGAAGTGGAGGAATTATTAATAGTTGTTATAACTTGGGTATGTGTATAATTTGCATTATAGGAACTACTTTGTAGAAGACAGTTCTTTTACTTAAATAAACATTTTCCTGACAAGTTGAAGTCTTCACCTGGGTTTGTCCCTTGAGAGAAAATTGAATCCTACCCTGAACAATATAAATACTAATGGAATGTTTGTTGGATAAGAAAATATGAGCTAAATAAAAAAGAAAACTCAGAAGGCAAGGCTATAATCAGAATTCTGTGAGAATGGCAATCCATATTCTAAACGTGTGATTTCATTGTACTCTTGTATAGAGAATATATGCATTCATTTGACATGATGGTGCTATGTAAAAAATTCACCAGTTACAGGCTAAGTTACAGGCTGACAATTCAACATTGTCAAAGAGTCTAGAATTTTTTATTCCAGTATAAACTAATACATATTACCATGTTAATAAGAGTAAGTCTTTTAAAACCACCTTGGTGAAAATGTTATGCTCACAAAGTTGCTAATTTTCCAATCATTGCTCTCTTTGAGTTTCTTACCTATGAAAACTCATGCTCCTGAATTTATGTCCTGAATGAAGGATATACTTGTGAGGGGCTTGGAGTTTTAAAAAAATGGAGCTTTTTTTTGCATTCAAGACAAATATCAGACAAATTAGATGCATTTTTCTAATCTAAACCATCTAAAGACGATTTTATATCTATCTAGGCAGTTATATTTTATACCCTGACAGCTTCCTAGGTAAAGCATTCTAATTGACTCTCTGTTGCCATCATCAATTCTTACTAGACTAATAAAGAAAATCCTTAAATTCTCTCTGAGTTTTTAGATCTGCCAGTGATTAAGGGAGATTAAAATACATTTTATACTTCTTGATTAGAAACATTAATCATTTTCTTAATGATAGTTTGTCGCCGACCCTAAAAACAAACAAACAAACAAATAAAAATGGGTTATCATAAATCATGCAGGTATAAAGTTATTCTGTGAAAGCTTTTATTAACTAGTTCTAGGTTGAAATTTCTGGCTGCTTTTATGTTCAAAGTTGTTTGTAATGATTTTAATACCACAAACCTGTTAAGAACTTGTTCTATATAAAAATGAAAAGATCCCTATTGGATTAGTTTCCTGGGGGAAATGCAAACGGTAGGATTCTTTTATTTTGAGATTTTAGTCCATATGAGGGTTCATTCTTTTGAAAGAACTTTTAGAGACGGGAGGCATATTGACTATTGGGAACAGCTTTGAAGAATGTTCAGTTCACATAACAAGAGGCTTGAGGCCAGAGTATGGAACCAGAAGATCATTATTTTCTTAATTTATTGCTTCTTGCTGTTTTCCAAATCTGGATATAACCTTGTTTGAATTTGAGGCTCCCTCATTCTGATCTGTTTTTGTAATCAAATTAATCTGTGTCAAATATTTCTACTCACCATTTTCATTTCTTTTATCAGCAAATACTAGCTGTGGGCTACCTCTGAAAATGCTTCGGAAGACACCCATATACACCTGTGGCACATACTTGGTGATGCTGGTCCCACCTCCAGGGGGATCAGGCAGTTCAGCCACCCGCTCTCTTTTTGGTGGAACAAGTGGTTTGTCATCTTTAAAAAGTAAGCGAATTTTATTTGTGGCACTTTTCCCAGTTTGTCTCCCACTTTGAAATTTAAGGCTTTTTCTATTAATGATTTCTTAAAATTAAATTTATTGGAGTGACATTGGTTAATAAAATTATATAGGTTTCAAGTGTACAGTTCAATAATATGTCATATGTATGTATATTGCATTGAGTGTTCATCATCCAGAGTGGACAAATAGTTAAATGAGAGAAAATACAGAATCAAAAATGTTTCTTTTACATTGCCATTTTCTAGCTTTCTTACCTTAGGGACATCATTTAACCCCTCTGAGCCTCAGTTTTCTCACTTGTAAAAAATAAAAGGATAATAGTATCTCACACTATTTTTTGGTGATCAGATGAAATAAAGTATGTTAGAGTATTTCTTTAAAAAGATGAAATGTTTTATGTATATTAGCTTTTTGTGTGTGTGTGTGTTTTTCTTTGAAATTTAGGCACATAGAATGTTTTAAAATCAGTTTACTTGTTTTCATTTTCCAATATTTCATATTCTGTCCTCTTAAAATTTGCCCATAGGCATTCCATTAAAGGATTATATTTCACATTTAGATTTTTAAAAAGCATTTCTTACTCGAACTTAAAGTCTAAATTTGAACTCAACAGATAAAAAAAATTATCTAATATCAACTTAACCTTTAGGCCATTTCGGGTAGTTGCATGCGTTAGGGACTTAGCTATTCATAACAACTTAAACTGTAGAGTCAAGTTGGTTGGACCTTTTTCAACAGTTTATTTTTTCTAACAGTTCATGTGACCAAGATGTCCCCTTGAGCTCTTGGGTTAATGATGTAAATTTGCTATTATTCTTGTTTTAAAACAAAAAATAGCTTTATTGAGATATAATTTCCATACCAGGAAATTCACTCTTTTAAAGTATACAGTTCAGGGGTTTTTAGTATATTCACGGATTGTGCGACTACCACCACTATCTAATTCTAGAATATTTCTGTAACTCTGGATAGAGAAGCTCCATACCCATCAGCAGGCACTTCTCTTTTTCCCTGTCATTCTAGTCTCTGGCATCCACTAGTCTACCTGGATTTACCTATTCTGTATTTTTCATATATATGGAATTATACAATATATGTGCTTTTGTGACTGGCTTTTTTTTTTTTTTTTTTAACTTCTGGGTCATGTGGTGAGTATATGTTGGCGCGTTGGAGGGACTGCCAAATTTTTCCACAGTTGGCTGCACCATTTTCCATTCTCATCAGGAACATATAATATTGAATCCTCACCGGCATCTGTTGTTTTCTGTTTGTTTGTTTGTTTGTTTATTATTATTATTATTATAGCCATCCTAGTGGGTATGAAGTGGTATCCCCTTGTGGTTTTGATTTATGTTTCTCTAATAACTAATGATGTTGAACATATTTTCTTCTGCTTTTTGGCCATTTGTATATCTTCTTTGGAGAAATACCTATTCAAATTCTTTGTCCATTTTTAAATTGGGTTATTTGTCTTTTTATTGACCATTAGTCTTATTAAGCTCTTTTTTAGTCTCCTTGGCATGGCTTTTTCACTCAATTGAAATTGGCCCCATTTGATTAAAGCAGGCCTTCACAGTGCTATTTTTTTTTTCTTCATGAGGATATAGCTTACACAGTGATTCTATTTTAGGCCAACAAATCAATAAATGCTTAAATTCCTTCTGTGTCCTGCTCCACGTTGGCCATGTGGGGGCTGCTCAGCAGGTGCATGAAGTGATGCTTGCCTTTGAGCGGCTCATCGTCTGGTTGGGAGAAATGATGCAGGTGTGAGAAATAACTAGTAGATGATGTATGATCCTGTATCACTGAACTCTGGGGAACAGATGTAAGTGCTGCAGAATCCAAGAAATAAAGGGTCATTGTGGAGTAGGGCAGAAGGGGGAGCCTTCATGAGTTGAAGTCATGAAGAACGGGTATTATTCATGTTAAGTGGCCAAGTTGGGGGGGAAAGCACATGCATGGTAAACACAATGACAGAGAACTTCGGGGAAGATCGTTTCGTTGGCGTGCAGGACGGAACTGTAGAAAATAGAAACAAAGAGTATAGTTTAGATTATAGCTCAAGTCAGGTGTGATGAGGATCTAGATTACTGGGGTGATGGGAATAGGAAAAACAAAGAAGCTCGAGTGACACAGTGCTTGAATTTTATGTTTGCAAGTGGGGAAGGAAGGAATAGCAGCTTAGCATACATGTGGTGGTGTAGATCCTGGACATATTTTAACTCAGTCTCCACAATAACTGTGTAAAGTAGGCACTTTTATTATCTCCACTTTACACATGAGGAAATGGAGAGGTTCAGTAAATTTCCCAGCATCATACAGAAGTGGTAGGGCTGGAATTCAAACCCCGACACTTAGAGCCCAGGCTTGTCATCACTGCACTAGCTGTGCTAAGGAAAAAGGCCGCGGCGTCTCCAGGTTTCAGAGCTGCTGCTTGGAAGGACAGCACCTGAGCTGTGTTTGAGTGTCCCCTAACTTTCGTTCAACACCAACTGTGTGTAAAGTGTTTCGTACACGCTTCGTTACCTTGTGATGTTAATGACCGTAACCCCTCTCACAATAACCCTTTCGATACTCTGTATTGAAAAAAATCTTTATGCAAACGTTGCCATTTAAAAAAAAAACACTTTCAAAAATATGGTTGACTATTTAGGAAGATATTTGGTGAGTTTTCTTTGTATGATCTTATGTGTGTATTCTGTCACCTCATTGTCATCACCAATAGACAAAAAGTGTGATTTTTATGAAGTCTTGTTAAGAGCCTAAAGTTTAAACTTTGAAAAGTTATTGACCGTCATTTTAAGGCTTATTAAACAGCTTAATGTTTGTTTCCGAAGTCCTAGCCTCTAGCTTGGTGTATAATATTTCGGATGGACAGTTCACGAGCCGTGCTGACCTCATAGATGCTGCTGGAAGCTCACTGGGGCGTGGCGCTCTTGTACCAGGATTGGGTAAGAAATAAATGCCGACATTGCCTTGGAAAATTCAAAGTTTTAGCAGTTTGTCTCAAAAAATCTTGCCAGTTTCCTGTGGCGTTCTAGTTTCCTTAAAAATATTTTTATACTACTTTTTAATTTTGAGGATTAATATAAGACATTGCCATGTGTGAAATTCCTCTGTTTAAATTGCCGTTGAAGATACCATTCTTTAGGTTGTGTGATGATGCCTATAACAAATTTTTATTAAAAGTCATGCCATTAAAAGGTTTATTTCCCATGAGGAATTGCTATACTTCTTGTTAGAAAATGGGCATAATATAATGTATTTTCTCTTTGCCATGGCTCCTAGGAAGCTCATAGCTCAGTTACTAAGTTACTAAGGCTTTTATTGTGTACTATGTTGATTAGTCCTATTGTACCTGGGTTTTCATGTGAGCCACTTAAATCTTTTTTGTATTTAAAAGGTCATATATAAGTCAGTTACTAAGAACTGACACGAATTCCATGACATGGATTCCATTCTCACACAGGAGTTAAGCATAGTAGAAATTGAATCCTGCCTTCTTGCTGCGCCCCAACCTAATGCTTTGCCGAGTAAATATGTGGGAGTAGGGTTGTCAGCAGATGACGTGACAGTTGAATAAAGTACGCTCTTCTCGCAGGTGCCTGTTATGACACAGTGAACAATATGCTGTGGACCTGCTCGAATGACTATATCGATCAGTGGTGCAATCCCGGGAACCAGGCCTTCCATTACGTCTGTCAGAGACTTGGAGTCAGCCACGTCATCACTGAGCCCAAAGGTGAGGCGCCCTCGTAGTCCTGCAGGAAGAGGGTTCCCCTCATACAGCAGCACGAGTAAGTGGGAACGTGGTCAGAGCAACAAAATGTGTCCACAGCCTCCCCTGTTTGAACTTAGACACCTAAAATCTTTGTTATCTGATTGGTTTATGATTAAGTAAAGAAGTGTGTAGATAAACATAGCTTTTGAGGTGATCCATAGACTTTTTTTACAGGAAAATTATGTGCCTTCTGCAATTATCAGAACTTTGGTGCAAAAATCGATTCTTTATTTGTACTTGGCATAGGAGTATATGCTGCTACAATGTTTTACATTGATAACTTATTTATGACCAAAGTTATAATTAGATTAGAATTAGCTATAAAGGACCTTTATATTTATTAATATTAAGATTAAGATTCTTAATATTAAGTTAACATTAACTTATAATCTCACAACATCAAAGGCAGCTATAGTGGTATGGGGGACTGAGTCATTCAGCAAGGCCTCTCCCCATTGAGCAATGATAAAACCCACACAATTATCAAAAACAACTAGTTCTAGGCCCTGGAAATTGACCAAAGGCATACACCAAACTTAGAAGTGGATATTTATAAAAAAAAAAAACACTGAACTTTGGGTTAGAACAGCAGAAGTCTGTGGTGGTTTTAGCTGGGGGTGCTCCGATCCCCCACCTCAAGCTTGGTCAGTGCAGATCCCCACCGGGGTGGGCAGATAGCGTAAACCAGCAGCTCTGCTGCCAGAGGGATCTGACTTGATTCGGAGCAGAGCCTGGAACAGAACTCGTGCCCAGCAGCAGGTTTAGTAGGTAGCCTTAGTGGCGAACAGACAATACCGGTGGCTTTGCTAGCCTGAGGCTGTGTCCTGGTTCGGGCAAGTGGCAAACCAGCAGACTAGCCGGAAATTTGCTGGTGAGATCTGCTTAGTGACAAAGCTCCAGAGAACCTTGGTACGCTCCCCACACATCTGCATAGGAGAAGCTGGAAAGGGCCCGGGCCGTTCACATAGGCCTGGCTGAACCTGAGCCTGCAGAGACGTGAAGAGGGCCTGGCAGAAAGCGCAGACCGGGGCAGAGAAAAAACTGCCTGAACTTTGATCTGCTCCCTCCAAAACACAGATCCATCCAGGGTGGAAGTTTTACTGGCTCTAAGTGTTTGAGCCCAATCTCTGACTCAGATCAGGTGACCCCAAGGAAGCCAGGCTTGAAAATAAAAACAAGAATAATAAAAATAAACAAATGAAAGTAAAACTGAAAATAGAAGCAAGAATTTTAGAAAAGAGAGCAGAGAAATCAGCTACACGCTGCAGGCAAAACTCAGATGTAGGACTTAAAGATGACGACTTTAAAGCAGCCTTTCTAAATAGGTTCAAAGAACTAAAGGAAACCACACTTAAAAGATTGAAGGAAAGTATGATGGCTATGATTAAACAAATAGAGAACTTCAACAAATAAGTTATTTTTAAAAAACAACCGATTGTTTTGGTTGTTTTTGGTTGTCTTACTAAATTCTGGATTTAGTAAGTTTAATGTCTAAAAAAAAGTCATTAGACAGTAGATTCGAGATGGTAGCACGTGGATGGGTAGAGTTACCCTACCTGCATAACAGGAACAGATGCTTTTGAAGACTTCTGGTCAGGTATTTTGTAGAATGTCCCTCAGTTTGGGTTCATCTAATGTTTTCTCATTTTAAATGAAGTTTCAGATTTGGGGGAAGAATACTGCAGAGGTGAAGTGCTCTTCTCATATCACAGGGTACATGGTATCAACATGACTTACTACTAGTGATGTCAAAATTGATCACTTGGTTTAAATGCCAGCTTTTTTCACTGCAAAGTTACCACTTTTCCCTTCCCATCCTCTGTGTATTAGAAACCAGTCATTAAGCCCACACTCATGGAAAGATGACTTAAGCTCCACCTCCTGGAAGGAAAATTATCAGAGAATTTGTGGACATATGTTAATCACCACAATAATGAATATTTAGAGAGAGGTGACATTTTGAGGCTATGCAATTATCTATTCAGATTTTTATTTCTTCTAGAGTTAGTTTTGGTAATTCGTGTGTCTTTCTAGAAATAAGTGCATTTCATCTAAGTTTTTTAATTGTTTCCACAAAGTTGCTCGTAATATTTCTTGATAGTTTAATTTTTATAGGTCAGTAGTAATTTCTCTGATTCCCGATTTTGGTATTTGTGTCAATTTACTGAAAATCATTGAAGTGTGCACTTAGAATAGGTGAATTTTATGCTATGTAAGTTATATCTTGATAAAGCTATAAAAAAAAAAAACAGCAAAAAGGAGAAAAGTCAACTGTATATTAGTAACTCCCTAATTACTATCTCTAAGCCTCTTGTCTGGACTCCAGACCACGTGTTTGCTTCCACTTGGATATCGAATAGGCATCCTCTTCTGAACATGTCAAAAACTCCATCTCCCCCGCCCAACCCCAAATCTATACCTGCTGAGCTCCAGTGTATGGATCACTGTTCTCTCATATGCCCAGACCACAAAAACCAGGGCCATCTGTCACTCCTGTTCTCACACCCCACACTCAAATGGATATCGGCAAATCTTGTCAGCTCTTACCTTCAAAATGTATCCCAAACCCAGCCACTTTACACTAGCTCTGCTGCTGCAACTCTAGTCTGGGCCGTTATCTTCACCCGAATTAGCGAGTGGCCTCCTCACTGGCCTTCTGACTTCTCCACAGTCACTCCCCTCCAGGCTCCCCTCCACATAAGTGCCAGCGGCTTTTACAGTCTTAGGTAGTCAGACCTGCCACTGGCTTCCCATCTAACTCAGTAAAAATCAGAGACCTCATTTATTTGGGTCGGTCCCAAAGCTAGCTTTCAAAAAGTCTGGTAAACGTGAATACTAACCCAAATTCTGTTGTTATAAGATCAGGAACTCAAGGGGCACAGAAGAGGATGGGACCCAGCCTGGCCTCAGGTTAACAGGCAGTCGAAAAGTTTAGTTTTACCTTCCCTTTGATTGCCTTGAGTCCTTTTCTCGTAGCTCCCAGGGCCTACAATTTTTTTGCAGCTGTAAGGTTCCCCTACCTGGGCCTGCCTCTTCAAGATTACCTACTTTCCTGTTCCTTTTAGGCAGTTCATTTCAGCTGTTTTAAAGGAAAAAAAAAAGGCAGCCTTTTTATTTATTTATTTTTGTACTTTGCCTATTTAGATTATTTTCACCTCTATTCCCTAAATACCTGTAACCATCCATGAGGCATTTATTATTATGTAAGAGGATGCTTGTCAACCCTCACAAGGTTGAACTGATGGCTATTTAGGCTGGTGGTGACTAAATGAGGTGTCGTGGGAGGAGATATTTCTAGATCAGGGAAGGGGGTTGGAGGTGGAGAGATTTTACCAGAATGATTACCAGCGCGGGCTCTCAACTCAGATAGCCTGAATTCAAATCCAGTTCTACCACATAGTATCTGCGTGACCTGGGGCGAGTTACTTAACCTCTCTAACTCTTGATTTGCCCTTCTACAAAACAGGGCTAAGATAGTCTGTTTATAATGATGCCATAAGACAATGTACGTAAAGTGTGTAGCCTGTTTTCAAGCATAGAGGAAAGGCTCTATGGCGGTAGCTACTTACACTCTAAAAAAATGGAAATTCCCAAGTGTTTTCACCCCAGCACTCTGGCGGGGAGAAGAGTCTCCAGCAGTAGTGGAAGAGATTGGAGCCAAGATATTCTCTCCCAGTGTGTGCGCATCTTTTGTTAAGTCAGAAGACTGTTCCTTGGGGACTGCCCATGGCGATGTCTTTCCTTACTGAATTTCCTTTTCATTTTCTAGAAGAGGCTATAACCACGAATGAGGTTATAAACCAATTATTGCACCACGTTGGTGCGATGTGCATACACCAACTCAATCTTCTTGCTACCAACCCAAACCTTCCAATCACAAGTGTCTTGGGCAAGCAGCATCCGATCGAAGCACACCATCTTAGCAGTATTTGTGACATTATGGAGAAGGCCATGGTTAACGGAGATACCTGTATTATACGCTGCATTCTTGTCGTTTTTCAGGTAAATGCACTGTTTGGGGATAAATAAGGTAATAGAGGGAAAAAAAAAAAAGCAAACCTCGGCTTCAGCCAGCTAATTTCTACCAGAAGAAAAATTTAATAACATTCCTGTTTTTCATCTTACAACATTCTAATCCCATAATTAGAATTATCATCATATTCATTGCTTGGCAGTTAATGGAGTATTGTTATATGTAGCTCATTGCAATTAATATATGTAAAATATTTACTATAATTATACCATTACACAATAGAAGAGACTGTGGTTAAAAATCCACCTGGGTATCTATTCATAAGAATATCTACCATGTACTTTCTTCACAGGGATAATTTTATCCCCAGGAGAATTAGCATTTTTAGACATATCCCTTATGTTTCTGTAGGTGGTGTTTAAATTTTTCTTCAGCCCACAAACTGAAAGGAATCGAGACATCATTCGACGGTCAGGATTGCTTCTTTGGCAGTTGTTGATGGCACCAAAAGATCAAATTTGCCCTGAAATTCAGAAGGAAGTCTGCCTTGCCATCAGGTAATCAGCAAATAATTTCCTTAGTGCTGGCTGCCAAGTGCTTCTGCACTGCCTTGCGGTCTCCCCCTCAGGCCGGTAGCACAAATATCCCCCTATCTTGGTCAGGGCCTCACACGTAGACGATAACTTAACTGGACAATGGTTTGTGGCCTAACGCCCAGAGCACCCAAGGCATCCATGTACCTATGTTCCTCATCTCACCTTTTGGATCTCAAAAAAAACAAAAGGAAAAAAACCTTTAAAGGCTATTTTGATGGTCTGCAAGCAGATATGTATCTCATTTGGGGGAGGGTGTGGCAAGGGGATTCAGAAGCAGGCTTTGGCATCAAAGACCTGGGTTCTAGTCTTTGCTCTGCCACTTAATGGCCGCGACCTTGATCTGAGTCTTCCATCTCCTCAGCTATAAATGAGCTTAAAAATAGTACCCAGGTCATAGATTTGTGAGATTTTAATCAGGCCTGAAGCAAAGTAAGTACTTGACAACGTAGCTTTTAAAAATCTGCTTCAAACCTTGTTAGGTAAGACAGAAGAATTTATGGGCTATTTTTATTGTCATTTAATCTATCGGTATATATTTTCTCGAGGGCAGTGAACTTTTATCCAGGAATGTAGCCTTAATGTGACCAGATATAATTTAGTGACCAAGAGAGAACTGAGTGTTCTGTCTGGAAGCACCGTGTGAGAGGGGTGAGCATAGAGGGAGGGCAATTTTTTTTTTCCTTAATAGATTATGCTTTGGGTCTCTTTTTGTTGAGAGCATTAAGGCAAAAATTAAAACTACTGCCATGGGGATACTTGTGGGTGACAAGTATGTTCACCATCTTGACTACGGTGATGTTTTCATGGGTGTGTACGTATGTCAAAACTTATCAGAAAAGCTTTATCAAATTGTACACTTTAAATATGTGCATTTTGTCGTACATTAAACCTCATAGAAAAGAAAGAATTCTGGCACTGTTTGCAATACTGTTCTTTCTGCCCTTTTGGAAAAGCTGAGAATTCGAAAGTCCCTTTCTCAAATGATTTAATTAGGGCATGATCTGCATATCTACCTAGCTCTACTCCATTTTTTTAATAGCTCTGTTCTCTTTAACCAGTTCTGCATCTGGCCTCAGTTATCATTTTGGTAATTCACAGATAGGAGAAGAAGAGAGGGACCGTTCCTCAGGGAGGTGACGGCACTATCACGACAGCGAATTCAGCTTCCACTGCTTTTTTTAGTGATGAAACTTACTTCAGAGTTTTGTGTAACCAAAATGGCATCTTTAATAAAAATAAAAATTTAAATAGTCTGTATTTTCTAGAACATTTGTTTCAAAGCTTTTTGACTTTTCTGTCATTTCAGCTCTGGTTTGAATATCTTGTACCCAGGTGAAACTGAAATCAATAACTTACTTAAGCTCGTCTTAACAGAAGGTGAGAATTACCCTTTAGCTACCATCCTTTTTTGTCCCTAAGGTAACGACTGGATATTAAGATAGATTTTTTTCCTTCATATCTGTTAGTCAGCCTTAATTTTTAAAATGTATCTGCACATATGCCAACACTTCAACGAGATTAAAAGCAGAAACCATGTTTTATATATCATCAAGCTTTATAAACCTCTATCCCCACCACCTAACTAATGTCCTGACTGTAGATGTTTAATGAATATTAAAGATAATGACTTCTGGGGGATTTCTAGGCCATATTAAAATGCAACTTTTGAAGTTAGACTAAACAACAATAACAAAAATCACATGTCAAAGGCACTGTGCATTTATAAGCAACATTAATTTGAGGAGTTAGTAACCACACTTTATGATACATTGAGGGGGTAACTATATTGAATCAGGATCCACTGGTTTGAAAAAAAGTCAGGTTGGTCGTGATGTCGTTCTTTCTGCTGTCACTTGTACAAGTACAGATGCCTGGAGCCCTTAGATTGTCGACAGTCTGCTTGTCTAAAAACCGTTTTTAATAGCATCAGTTTTCTAAGTGTAATTACCAGGGTAATTTATGGCACTTTGTTCTGTGTTAGGAGAGAGAAACAGTGGCCTCTCCCAGCTGCGAGATGTGATCCTAACCAATTTAGCTGAACAGCTTCAAAACAACCGATTTGGCAGCGAAGACGATGATCATTACAGGTGACACCAGTTATCTTAGTCACTGCTAGCTTTTTCTTTGTGTTTTTCTCAGGAATCAATTTACATTTAAATGTGTTTGATCAACTTTAGTCTCCTATAATATCTAATATAAACAGTATGTTAAGTCTAAACCGTGGATCAATTGAAAGATAATAAATCCCACAGTTGCCCTAAGAAATGACAGTAGTACATTTCAGTTTTATCAGTAAAGTAACATGGGCTTGGAGAAAGGGTACTTAGCAGAAATAACAGATGGAGCATATTCAAGAAGTCTTGGCAGAGGGTGTCATCTAAATTGATGGTCAGTGAGAGAGGGAGGGGGTAAGGGTGTAGTTAGAGCTGGCGAGGGGAGGAAGGTATTGGTTTCTTTGCTGTTTATAAAATATTTGGACTGGGTGCTTACGTACCATTTTGTTTAAGTTTGATTTAGATGATACACCTGGTCGTTAGCATCATTACTGAGTAAGATGATTGGCTTACAGAACCAATTAATTTTGTGTCTTCTATTTGTCATTTTGTACCAATTATGTAGAATTTCTCCATTTATTACTAAACCATCAATATCTTATTGTTATATTTTTCCTGCAATTAAAGACTAAATGATGAACTTCTACACTACATTCTGAAGATTGTGGTACGAGAATCCTGTATCTTAATCACCAAGTGCCAAACTGTCTCTAAAGATGATTTTCAAAAACTCCTTTCAACTGTGCCTGTAAGTAAAAATGTGTTTAATGAAAGCAAAATTGTACCCCGTGTTCCTGTTTCATTTTACTGTGTGGAGGTGTGTGTACACATACTTACACACATACTTTACGAGGATAGACTAAATTGATGAAGGTCCATGGATAACAGTGCTTGTCCTGGAAATATAGAACTAGACAAATCCACTTGAAATATTTTCTCCAAAGATGACTCCTCCTGCTTAAATGTCTTGTTGCAATAAATTATTTGACTGAATTTGGATGTTTTAGTTTTGCTTGAAATACTGGGGGTTACTTCCCCTATTAATTTTAAATTTCGCATTGTTTTCTAAACCACCAGTGTTTTACAGAGACTGATAAGAACCAAAAGATACTTTTAAGGGTTTCAGTAGAGCTTTCTCTAATGGAGATATGTGTGAGGGGAAGGAGGGTGGGGAAGAAGAATTTTTAAGAGGCAAAAATTCAAGTAAGTATCTGAGTGATTAGTGAGAATTATGTAGCAGAAGGCAGAAAGTTATGATAAATGTGTCAAATTATGTATCAAAAGCCAAATGGAAATAAGTCACCTGAGAAACTAACTTGGTCTGTTTTCTGTACTTTCTCTTTTGCTTCCCTTGTCAATCTTTTAAAAACATGAGGATTACATGATTCCTTCTTTCAGTAGGATCTAGATCATTTAAATGCACTTATTTGTATTAAAGGCTGCATCCTCCTGCCTGCGCTATCTGATGGCAGTTCAGAACCACCTTCTCAGTAACACTATTTTGATTAAACCTGATGAGAATGATGACAGTGACAACTCCTTGCAGGGAGAGACATTGAAGGTACAGGTAAACACCAAGCTTTATTCTAACGATGCTCTCTACCCAGTGTGTAAAGCACAGCTTAATGGGCTAAATTTCTGTGTATTATGATGTCAGATTTCACCATGTGGCTTATATTTTTGTGAGAGATAATATTAGGCCACTCATTCCATAGATTTTTATGTCATTGCACAGTGGTTACCATATTTGTGACACTCTCATAATGTGTCATCCATGTGCTCCTGTCGATCTTTTGTGCCTTTGTTTATTTTCATCTTTTTTTTAAGAACTATAAAATACGGCACTTACAAGTGATCTCATACGCACCTGAAATTTTATTTATATATCCTTATATAAATAAACCCAGGAGCATAACATTTTAAACAATCTTGGCACTTTGGCTGGTTTATTATATTCTCTTGATTCAAATAACTTTTAAAAAGGCGATAATTTTCTCACAGCCTTTATACTGAATAATTTCTGAACCTGTAATTCATTTCATTTTCTGTAATTATTTTTAAGTTAGCTTCTGTGTAAACTCAGTTTGTTCCCACATGGCAATTTATAGCAATCCAAAGATTTTTTTATAGCAGTGGTTGTTATAATGTTGACAGATGCTCGAGGCTATTGTTTGCATTGTTCTTCAGAATTTCATCTGTGTGGGAGAATTAGAGAAATCAATAAAAGCTTAATTCTCCCCTAAAATGTTGACTAAACACACTGAAAAATTAACCAAGGAAGCTGTAGTTAAAAGATAAAAGCCATTACAGTTTGCCTTTTTCTTAACTCCTTTATGCATATAATCAATCATACACCTGCTAGTTCATATTTATGAGTTTATCTCATTATCTAATCAGTTTTTAAATAGGCAAAAATGCGTGAATTAAACATTTAAATTGCTGATGCTATTTATTACCTTCTCTTGCCTTAGTTTCCTAATCAGTAAAAAGGGACAGTAACATCTCCATTGTAAGGTTGCTGTGAGGATGAGAGACGAGGCATGTAGAATACCTGGCACTGTGCTGCCACTGGATGTGCAGTCAGTGGATGATGGCTCATATGATCAGTATGACTCAAACCATGATTTATCCTGGCTGGTCAGTTCAGAATTCCTTTTCTCTTAATGATAAAAATATCTTAGTACTATTTCCTCTCCCCCAAAGAAGAACCCAGAAAATTCCAACAATGAAAACCAATGTTTTCTATTTGAAAGGCTACATTTTATAAATTCTTAACTAACCCATGGAAAGAAATACTCTTGGTAAAGGCAGACTAGGCTGGATTGTCTAGTATTTCTGGGAAAAATAAAAAACACAGATTTCACCCAAAGGGGTAATTTGGTTGTACTTTTTTTCATAGAAAATAATTGTAAACTAAACATTTCTGTGCTCTTAACTAGTGTTTCTTAACACATTATTTAGTATTTGTATTCCCATGAGCTCTCTAATAGTTATTTTTAATGTTTAATAGCCTGTAACTGCCTGCTACTTTAACTGAATTTTTTAACTTGCCTGTTTTCAAGTGTAATGGTTTAAAACATTAAGTAAAAAGGTCACTTGTACTGTTTCAGAATGTTGTGTTTTTGTCTCATTTTATTCACCGCCTCTACATGCGCCTTTTACTGTTCTGTTTTTCTCTTTAGCTATCCTCATACCACCCAAGGCACTCTTCCACCTGGACAGTTTCTGGGCTGGCCACCGGGAGCTCTCTTGTGCTGGAGGGGATGGGAGAAATGCCTTTTCTCCTGGGGACCGGGTGTGCTCCCCGTGAAATACTGCGTATTTCTATCAGCACTCCCCACCTTAGCCTCCCAAATCAAATTGCTACTTGCCATCCTAGCGGAACTTACTGCTTTGGGCTTATTCTGGCCACCTCATTATTTAATTTGGAAATGCATCATAAAATACATCATTTCATGTTGTCATTGTGAGTGTATATTTATCACAAAGCTTAAAAATAACATTATGATATTTTCTACCTAGGAGCTAAAGGTCAGTATTTTGGCTCTCGCCACCCAGATCCTGACTGGATGTGATGAAGTGTTGGAAATGCTACAGCAGGTCACAACTGCCCTCATAAATAGTGACATAGCTGACCGTGAGCAGAGGTGAGGAAATGGATTGTGGACTGTGACCTGCTGCCCTTCAGAAAGAAGAATTTGCTTACGAAAGCAAAATCTTTTAGAACGGGACATCCAGTGTTCACGTGCTATAGAGGGATTTTTGTGAGAACAGGTTGAAACGGCAAGAGTTTCAAAGCCCAGTGCAATCAACTCTTTAGTGGTGCTTTTAGGTACAGTTGGGCTGACAGCCACGATCTAAGGGTAGCAAGATTGTGGGGGACAGCACCATCTACCATCATTACTCCCAAAGTGGCCTTTTATCTGTTATCTAGCTCAGGACCGTGTGCTCTTAGTTCCTTCATGAGAAGTACATTAGGGAGATAGAAGTGATTTAGTGACACTTACGTGGTATCTCAAGATTTTACTGTAATTTTACTTCTCCAGATACAGGAGCGCCCTGTGTAGAGGGTAAACGTCTCATTCCCAATAATAAAGCTTTCTCAATTTTCTCCATCAAACTCCCTGCTGTGTTTTGCTGTTAGAATCGATTTACATACTGTACAAGTTGATGATTTTAATGTTAGAGATGCTGATCTAGAGCAGTTCTGCAGTGTAACTTTTCCTCCACTGATCCTGTCTCCATAACCCTATTTCTTTGGCCACTTCCAGAGAGTAGGTGGGCGGGATGGAACTGAGAATATAATCCAGACAGGCGTCGCATTGGGGCTTGTGAAGACACGTAGGGTCCGCTGCTGGTGCGTGGCGCAGATCTGCCCTGGGGAGGTACAGTCTGAGAGCCTGGGAGATGGGACTTCTGTTTCTGGTTCCAACCCCAACATCCTCGGTAGTCTTAGAGAATTTACCCCACTCGCATCTTTCTTTGGGTGGGTCACATACTTCAGCTCTTCTACCGGAAGATTGGGGGCTATTAAGAATGTGATTTCAGGTACTCAAGTCACAATATATAGATACATCACATCATTATGTTGTTCACCTTAAATTTATACAATGTTATATGTCAATTAGATCTCAACAAGACTCGAGGGGGAGGGAAGAAAGTGATTTTAAAGACAAATTTAAAATCTGTGCCTTTCTACTGCGTGTGAGCTGGTTTCTCTAGGCCAGAAGTGGGTGTCACTGCTGTGGGTGGGAAGGTCAGTGCTGTAGCCGTTCATTTTCTTGTCGTCGGAGACGCAGTGCAGCGCCACCACCTGCAGCCCAGAACCAAGGGAACTTTGTAGGTGGCAACTACCTAGAGTAGCCATTCGCGTTTCAGAACCCATTTATAAAACGCTTCAAAGGTGCTATGAAATGTACCATGTAAACTTTTGGTTTTTAGCGGAATCATAGGTTGAAGTTGAAATCTATTACGAGATTTCTGTTCTCTCAGTGGTAGAAGGTGGGAAATTGGTAGACTGAATTGCTGTAACTATAACTGCTTAACTAGTCCAGGGAAATGCGGTTTAAAATAATTTGTCAGCTACGGATGATAGTTGCTTCTTCACATGATTGGTAATTGTTAAAGCTGAGTCTTGTCTTAAACTTTTTGTAGGCTAAAAGGCTTGGAACAAGTCACTAAGGCTACTATGCTGGGTCACCTCCTTCCAGTGTTACTGACCTCCCTGATGCATCCAAATTTACAGACTCTGACCATGGCCGATGCCCTGATGCCTCAGCTAGTGCAGCTGGTCCTCTACACCAGTCAGGTATGACCCTTGGTGTGCCGAAGGAAACTGCTGCTCGGCCAGCCCGCTTCACACTGGGTCGTGGTCACACGGGGCCGTGTGCATTCCCCGAAGGCGGAATGAATATAACTGTGCCTTTCAGAAGCCAAGGGAAATGATGACGGAATGAAGAAAATTACTGTGTCATAAAAATAAACTGAAACATTAAGGGAAAACGTTTAATTTGACTAAATCACTGCAGTCTTTTAGCAAATGTTAACTGATAGTCAGCTGTAAAAATGCTCACCTACAATGCTACTGAGATCCTACCATGACGGTTAGTCTCCTGAGTCCTTGCTGCCTATCTGTAACCAATGTAAGTGGTTTGTTCCATCCAGCATTAAACAGAATGATGTTATGTGGTCTAAGTAGCAAAGCATTTCTTAGTGAGAGACCAGGACAGACCAGGATTGCAAAAAGATGATTTAAGTGAGAATTCTGAGTTTGGCTCTACTACCATCCAGATCACTGACAGTAAGCACTTTAAGACATGATGATGGTTTTGTGTTTCAGACGGCTTTGCTGCTTAAAACCCAGTGTCCAGTTTTTGCCGAGGTGGGCTGTTCCCCATGTGGAGCATCAGACCAGAAGGGCAGGCTGTTCCCCGATGAGAGGTGAGGGACGCTGCTTCCTTGCAGGAACCCCTGCCTGTTTTCTTCTGGTGAAAGCCTAGTACTCCTTTCACAAAATGATTTTTAGCAAGGATTACCTAACTGGAAATAGAGAATTCAGGGTCAGAATTTTATAGATAATTGTAGAATTGTTCTGTAGACCTATGGGAATGGGTTAGAATCAATTTCTTCACAGATCAAGAGACTAGTTCAAAAATTGACAAATTGTCATATACTGATGATAGGGACATAAATCATTAACGGATTAGAATCAATTTCTCCACAGATCAAGAGATTAGTTCAAAATTGACAAATTGTCATATACCGATGATAGGGACATGAATCGTTAACAGATTAGAATCAATTTCTCCACAGATCAAGAGATTAATTCAAAATTGACAAATTGTCATATACTGATATAGGGACGTAAATCGTTATGACTTTGGCAAACAGTTTGATAGTTTCTAAAAAAATTAAACATACACCTTCCATATGACCCAGCTATTTCACTTCTAGGTATGTGCACAAGAGAAAAGAATGCATAGATTCTTACAAAGACTTGTATGAAGGTCATAACAGCTTTAGTTAGAATAGCCCAAAACGAGGAACAACCCAAATGTGGATCAAGCAGTGAAGGGATAAACACGTGGTGGTCTATCCATACAATGGAATCCTACTCAGCAGTAAGAAAGGATGAACTATAGATATATTCAACAACATGGATGAATCTTAGAATACTTGTGCTGAGTGAAAAAAGCCAGATCCCCCCAAAAGGTACATACCGTATGATCCTATATGTATAAAACTTCAGAAAGCACAAACTATTAAGTGAGAGAAAGAAATGATCACCTGGATTACCAGGAAGGAGGAAGCTTCACGGTGTAAACATGTAGCCAGATTTGCCAAGTTGTATACTTTAAACACATGCAACTTATTACATGTTAATTACATGTCACTAAAGTGGTCTTTAACAACACTGACCAGAAAGGAAGGACTTCCGGGTTCCTCTAGAGCTTCATGCAGCAATGACAATCTGTAACCTTGTTGTCCAGTGCTGTTGGCCACAGCCACATGCTGTTATCAGACACTTGCAGTGTAGCTAATATGACCAAGAAATTGAATTTTAAATTGTATTTGATTTAGATTCAGTTTAAGTGGCCACATTTGACTAAGCAGACACCATATTGGACAACACAGAGCTGAGAGAGAGAATCCCACAACAGCTCAGTGCACGTTATAGGAGATTGTTTTCCACACCCTTGGGCCTGTGAAGTCCTCGAGAGTTCATTTACAATAGATGAGAGGAACTTCGAAGACACTTTTCTTTAGTAAAAATTATAGTAAAAAATATTTGCGTAGACTCATGGAGTTTTCTGCAGTTGACCTTTAGATATCAACAAAAGGAACCTTTACAGGATGCTAATCTTATGTGATTTAGAAAGTGGCCAGTCTTAAAGGTCCTTAACAGTATCTTTTTTTTCCTCCTTGAGTAACTTTAAATGAGAGTCGGCAAGGTCCTCTCCTGGATATGATTTGGGCTTCCCTCTTGAAAAGAGAGGCTGGTGGTGGTGGGGAATGCAAATATATTGTCTAACAACAAAAAAGAAAATCCTTAAATATAGGAATCTTTTTTAATGTTTCTGATCACCAGTGATACCCAGCATTTCAAAGCCACAATGTCATACTGCATGCTGTGGAAAATTAAAGTGTAATTTCTTAACCTTTTGTGTTTTACCGTGTGTATGTTTTCTTCTCCCTTTCCTTGCTGCTAGGCTCAATGACTCTTTCTCTTTGTCTGGTTTTAGGATGCTGGAAGAGAAAGAAGAACCAGGCTTTCTCACAGGTTTAAAGATTCCTGCTCCATGGGCTGCTGGCAAGACTGTGGAAACAGTCCACCCTGTCAGAGACAACTATAAATTTAAAGAAACCGTCCATATTCCAGGAGCTCGCTGCCTGTATCTTAGATTTGATAGCAGATGCTCTTCACAATATGACTATGACAAAGTAAGCAAAATCTGCCTTAGTATTGATTCCAACTCTGGCTTCTTAGATGCTTCTTATTTTTCTTTGCTGCTGGTCACCATTCTTGACTTATTTCTGCCTGCAGCTATCTCTTAGGAGACCTTTCCTAAGATAATGCCTTGAAGGGTAGTGACTGGGGGAGGCAAAAAGCCTCTGCAGTCTGAGAACAGTGTTTTAATGACATGTTGAAAGGGGACTTTTGTAAGCTTTCAAAGTTTAGATCCAAGTCAAAGGAAATCCCCCTTTCCATTCTGCTTATCTCCTGCCTTCCCTCTGTGCCTGGAATTCTTGTAGATGTGTGTGTTCTTTCATCTGGAAAGGTCTTGCTGCCCAATTCTTGGGTCTTCTCGTGCATCTTTTGGGAGAAGGTGGTCTTTGATGTGTTAAGGTCTGTTTATGTTTATTTAAATTGTTGTTCTTGTCATTATCTCAGGGCCCACATAGATTTTTGAGGAAGTGTAGTTTCCAACCTGGTGGCTGAATTATAAATCAAAAGAAACATTTTAGGGCTTATTTTCTTTTTATAATTGTTGCATTATAAACCATCATGTTGAACTTACCAGGAAAGGCTAATGAAACCGTGATATGTAACATATAAAAGGAAAACTGAGTTGTTATCTAATAGTTTGTATGTACACAGGACTATTTTTATGTAGATCGTTAGCTATCTATTATATCTTTCCTCCGTGAATTTTGTAAGGGCAAATGGTCTTAAATCTCACCAGGAGAGGTTTTTAGGTTAAAAATTCCTGACTTCTTTACTGTATGTACTATGAGATGGTGAAACATGTTACTGGGAAAGTCATAGAATTCTCTTCCCCATTATTTTTTAGGATAGTGAAGATTCTCAGATGCCTGAAGGGGTTTAAGACTTGCCCTTAAAACTCACCTTAGCTGGAAGCAAGAGAATTTAGAAAATGGTCTTTGATGGGCTCGTCAAAAAATATATCTCCTGACATTAATCTACCCCACTTCATAGCTTCTGGCATTATGTACCCCCATTTCCAGCGTCAAGTGATATGACTGTTTAAAATGGAAATGGAAGAGGTTGCCATTTTAGTTGGTGTCATTTTGTTTCTCCTTTAAAGCCAGTAATTTGCAACTTCTGACATATACTACGTACGGTACACATTAGTGTTAAATGTGGAGGCACAGGGACGCTCACTACATGGATAAAAGTAACATTTACTTTTCCAGTGGTCCCTGGCAAAGTGGTGTCAGCAAAAGGTCCAAAAGGGTAAGAAATCACAAGATGATAAGTGTCTAGGGCTAAAAGTGCAGCTTGATCTCTCTTACGCAGTCAGAGACCATCGAAACGCACATTGGAAGACATCATTTGGTATTTACAGAAGCCAGAGCCTCATTCTTCCTGTGAAAGTAGCTGAATGCCAAATGACCTCTAAATATTTCTCCTGCATATTAGAAAGTTGGTTAATTGGGTATAAACGAATATAGCCTTTATCGAAGAAAAGTATCGATATATGAAAACTGACACAAGAAGCAGCAGCCCCCTTTGTGGCCCAAATTTGTGTCGTTTTCTTTTTATACCATTAAGCAACATTCTAAGAATATGTGGCTTATTTTCAATTTGTTGCATTTTTTAAAATCCTCGTTCGTTGAGGTTTTTGTTTTTGTTTTGCTTTTATTTTGTTGTGTTAGGTATAACCATCTTTTAACCTGTATTTGTTCACTTTATTAATTTTGGGGAGGACTTGTGGGGGCAAACTATACCTGTTATTAATGAGTTATATGTCATTACTTAGGAATAAAATAGCTATTTAAAAATATATACAATAGCTGAGTATAACAAATACGAGGTCCCCAAGTTAATTAAAGTGTGATAATATTTGTTATTATTCTGTGGCTGCCCTGTAAATACCAATGGCTGATTGCATCCAAACTAGAGTATCAGTTGTACCTTAAAAAAAAAAAGGAGATATTAGTTATATTATAATGACACCAGTGCCTGGTTATAAATGTATTTTTAAACAAACATTTTCTGCAGCTGTTTTATTTGTAGATGTTGTTTTTGTTTTTCTTTTACAGTCTAACAGTATATTTTCTGTTTTGAAGTTGGTGATATACGCGGGGCCTAACACAAACAGTAGGAAGGTTGCTGAGTATGGAGGCAACACACTGGGATATGGCAGCCGTAGTGTCTTAGGAACTGGTTGGCCGAAAGACTTGGTGAAGGTACGGTATCTGGTCACATTCGCTTCCTAGAAAAGAGGAATGAACTTGCGATCCTCATGGGCCCAAGTATTAACTAGAATTCCAGAAAAAAATTCGTCGTGGGGGCTTTCGTTGAGATGGGGGTACCTTGCCGGGCCTATAAAGTCACTGCGTCACTTAGCATGACCCTCCTGTCACATGTGGGGCATCAGACCATCAGACCCCTGCCCGCTCCAGAACTTGTATGTGGCCCACAGGTTACTTGGTGAACCGGGATTGCCATGGCATTCTCTTCCCTGTCTATGGGAAGGACTGCTAGTCCTTCCAGCTTGTTCTGCTCTAGATGCCCTTGTGATGTGTATCCTAGAACCACAGGGCCATTGAAGCCTAAAAATGTGGAATCAATGTTTTCAAATGAATTTGGGCCTTTGGAGCAAAAATACTGATCCATTCTCAGACTGATGAGATTTGAGCCACGCTTTGTAATCTGGGCCCTTGAACTATGACCTGTGTCCTTAGAACATGAACGTGAACTGAAATGCTCCCTAAAACCCAAAAAACCTGAGCGTGTTCCCGGAGCCTTCATCGCACGTACATTACGCACCCTCTCTAATTCAGACGTAGACAGCAGTTACCTCGTGGAGTTAGTCCAGATGCATCCACAGCTGGATCAGCACAGCGCTTTTAACTGTTCTCTGCTCTCCTGCCTGTTGTTTCTTACTTGTGGTATTGGTTCCACAATACAGAGCAAGGTCTCCTGGCCCTCTCTGTGTTCTTCAGGATACTGGCTGTTTGCTTGCCTTATTGGCACAAGTGAGGTGGCAAATTGGAGAGAGGAGGAGAGAGGCAGAAAGAATAGAAATCTGAAGAATTTCTTGAAATTATGGTCACGATTTGATTACTCTTTACTCCGGTCCTGCTATTGGGCAGTGTGGCCCACTTCACACATGCCTCATCCCTAAAGCTACCTGGTCAGAAGAGACACCTGCAAGGTTGGTGTCCAAGTGAGAGGGGATGGAATTTGAGTTTAAAAAGCAAGTGAGAAAAAGTGAAATATTGCTGTGGTCCTTTTGAAAGTGAATCTCAGAAATTCATTGCTCTTTTGAAAATTGTGTCTTGTTTTTAAAGTGCATTTTCCCCCCTTAAATTTTAAGGTGGAAGGAGATACAGTCACCTTCTCCTTTGAAATGAGAAGTGGCCGTGAACACAACACTCCTGATAAAGCTATGTGGGGCTTTGCTTGCACAGTTCGCGCTCAGGTACTTGAATCTAACCACCGCTGTGAGCATAATGTACTTTCTCCTCTGTACCTCGGTTACATGCATCATATTTGCCTTGGAAACGGGGCAGAATATGAGCTACTGTTTCATCCATCTCTTCCATTTGGCAGGAGTAGACTACTAATAGTAAGTAGTGGTTTTATGGAATTTAAAACTAGCTGCAACTTCACATCAGTTCAGTGGCACAGAGAATCTGTTGCTGGGGCCTCCGTTTTCATGGCTTGGAGAGGTGATCTGCCTCTGACATCGTTCTATGGGGTGTCGAAGGCTCGAACGCCCAATAGAAGTAAACACTTGGATTCCGGCTTTTAAGAGTATTGGGATCAGATTATTTTCATTCTCTTCCCAAAGGCTCTTCTCGCTGGTCTGGGTCTGTCTCTGATGAATTACTCGTGTTATATGCTGTATTAGGTTTAATCTGCTCTTTTGAGCATTGCCCAACAGTTACTTTCTCCCCAAAAATCTATGTAAATAAATTTTCTCCACTTGAAAAAAAAGAGAGAGGGAGTAATAGGAGTTTATGAACCTTTCAAGTTACCTGACGGGTAAGACTTACATTAGACTGGGAGGTTGCATACATCTAACCAAACCAAGACTCTCCGGAGTGGGATTCTCTGTTAGAATGTGAGCTCCACGAGGGCAGGGGTCTTTGTGCTGTTCTCTGCTGTATCTCAGGCACCTGGAACAATGGCTGGTACACAGTAGGCACTCAGTACCCACTGAACGAATTCAGTGTAATCATCGACGGCATCTTGGTTCGAGCACAGGATGGAAATGGCAAAGTGGAATAGTGATTTATACCCTCAGAGGCACAGCTGGGAGGAAATAACCAAAGAATCGTGCATGGGATTTATGCTGTTTCTAATACGGAGCCTTAGCGGCTCTTCTCTCTCCAGAACTGTGTTGAGATTTCACTCTGTGGTCATTTTGGTGCCACCATCTATCTATCTGCTCGTGGTGTTGGGTGCTGACCCTGTGTCCCATAGCGGTGATACTCAATGCTGCTGTGTGAGCCCCTGTGGCTGGGGACAGTGCAGGTGGCAGGGCTCCACCGTGTACACTGACCAGTGTGGTTTGCCCCTGTCTGCATTGTAGGAGTCTTCGGAGGATGTGTCGGGAGGCTTGCCCTTCCTGGTAGACCTGGCCTTGGGTCTGTCTGTGTTAGCTTGCTCCATGTTAAGAATCCTGTACAATGGGCCGGAAATTACCAAAGAAGAAGAAGCCTGTCAGGAGCTATTGCGGTCCAAACTTTTACAAAGGTAACAAAAGGCTCAAACTGGGCTGCTTTTGCTCACCAAGGGAAAAGGACTTTATGTGGAAAACTGCTTTTAGTACATTTCCCAGCTGATTGTGCTTACTGCCTGACAGTCTCATGGGTGTCGTTGTGTTTAAGACATAAAATGAAAATGACACCAAAGAGCCTTTTGGCCCTTACTTTACTAAATTTGAAATTGCAGCCTTGAACTGCAGAAGCTTTTCTGTAACCCAAATATCGTATAATTAAATTAAAGGATCCCCCAAAGGATGGGAAGATGGGAGATAAAGCAAACATAGCAAAATGTTTATTCTAGAATCTAGGTGATGGGTTTATGGGTGTTAACAATGAAATTCTTTCAACTTGTCTATATATTTGAAAGGTTTCATGATAAAGCGTTGGAGAGGAGGTAGATCCCCAAAGATGTGGTTTCGTATAATATGCTCAGTTTTCTTTAGCCTCTGGAGAAGGTTTGATGAATAAATACTTAATGCATAATGTGATCCTTCGTATGTTTGATTTATCTGCACACTTTAAGTAGCTTCCCTGATAGAAGAGGAAACGAGGAACCTCTTTTCTGTCTGTCCAGGTGCCAGTGGCAGGTGGAGGCCAATGGCGTGATCTCCCCAGCCCTGACTCCAAGCCCGTCTCCACTGCCTCTGACTATCGAGGAAGACAGAGAATTCACCTACCCCTCCGATGTCCTCGTGCCTCCAGTTGGAAACTACTTTGACCTGCCCCGGATCAGGCTGCCTCCGGGAATCATGATAAAGCTCAGAGAAATCTCCGGGCGTGCTAGACCCCAGTTTAGGCCGAGTATAAAGTACGTTGCTGTAGAGCACTTTTCCCAGTGAAAGAAGTGCTTAAACAATTCAGAGCGGCATATTTCTTCTCATAGTCTAGCAAGTGAACCTCGAATTTTATGTTTACTTAATGACTTAACCAAGTATCGAGGGGAGTACCCCCAGGGGGCTTTCCAGGTCAGTTGGTCTCAAAACGTGGGCCTCCGGTCAGCAGTGTCAGAATCACCTGGGGACTCTTTCATTCTTGGGCCCATCTCACACCTCCTGAACTGGAACCTCTGAGTCTGAAGCCCAGTAATCTGTGTTTTGACAATTTTTCCTTTTGATTTTTATACATGCTACAGTTTGGCAAGCTCTAGGTTTTCCCAGGTGGTTTGATCTTCTAGCAGTCATTAGCTCTGATTTCCGTAGAGTCTAGAGACATTTCTTTATTTTCGATGCCTAGAGAGATGGCAAGGAGTCTTCAATCTGGAACATGAAGTATTACAGTTACAAGTCTTTGTGGTGGTCTTGCTTAAAGTCTATTTTGAGGCCTCTGCTCTGCCTTCTGAGGCAAGATTAGACATATCAGAGTGAAAATGTAAAGAATAGGTGAAATTTAAAATGGAAAAATAGTCTACGGCCATGCTACCCTGAACAAGGCCGATCCCGTGTGATCTCGGAAGCCAAGCAGGGTCGGGCCTGGTTAGTACTTGGATGGGATACCACCTAGGAAGACCAGGTGCTGTAGGCTTAAAAAATAAGGGATTGTAAGCTGACAAGGTCCTTGCAATCTGTGAAGTCAACCAAGGGTTGCCTCACCTAAAAAAAAAAAATTTTAATTTAAAAAATTTTTAAAAAATGAAAAAATAAAGAAGCGCCATTATTTTCAGTCCACCATCCATATGCATGATGTCCCACAAGCCACAAACCACATAAAATTAATTGGCAGATAAATGGTGCCAAAGACTTTTTTTTTAGCCTTAGACCTATTCCAGCTTTAATATGACTATAGCTTAAACTATACAAATCATAGAAAATGAAGTATCTTGAATTTTGAGGTTTATCAGCCAATGTTAGGTTTATCAGTTAAATGTATATAATTATTGCCAACTTGATAGGAAAGCCATCATGTAACGTTTGTGCCTCTTTATTGTAATAAAGAACACGTGAATATTTAATATATTTAAATCAAAACCTATGTTCTTCAACTATAAATTACAGTATTAGTAAGTTGAGGGCATGGCTCATGCCTGACTTGTTTCCATTGTAATCACAGAGATGTAATTCAGCCAGATGTGATGGAAGAAATGGTGGTATCATGCGTTATTAAGCACTTGAACTTGGTTGATGCACTGCAGTCCCTAATAAATTTCCAGTATCAAGAAGAACATGCTGAGGAATATGATTTGTTGTGTAAAATTATGGGAGAGACCTTTAAGAAACTCAATGCCATGGAGAGACAGCTGCAGGTAAGTGAAAGCTAAAACGTGGAGATTTATAACTGTTGGAAATCATTTCTTTTCTAGAAATTTAATAAAGTTTAAAAGCGATCTGAATTTTTAAAAAATTATTAGAACTAAAATTTCTGAATTTACAGATTACATTTGTTTTTATTTTGCATCTATTTTCACATTGTTTTATGTTTCAATGTATCTATTAGAGTGTTGCAGAATTGGAACAAAAATGGCAAAGTGAGGTCGATGATGCCATGCAGGGGAAACTGGAGAACAACATGCCTTTCTTCTATGATTACCATTTTAATGAGGTGAGCAAGTTGTATGATTTGTCACTGGGACATCGCTGTTGATAGTGCAAAGGTATATACTGTGTGTGCGTGGACACTGGATGAAATGTCACTTCTTAAAATGTTACACGCCCCAGAATATAGCCATTCTTTAAAAGGGTTAAGTAAAGTTTATCAACAAATTTCTCATTGTTATTTTTTGACTAATAGTTTTATAAATTTCTCATTAATACAATACAGATTTCTCAGTAAGTTGTCTTTTGACTAATAGTGTTATAAAGAAATACAAATTTCTCAGTAAGTTGTTTTTTGACTAATAGTGTTATAAAGAAGTTACCGTGATCAATTTTTACTTTCAAGCCTTAACAAATAAAAGGTAGAGTTACAAGCACTGAAGAAATCCCCAGAAAATGGTTAATACCATTTTTAATCATCAAAATATCAAATAACTTACAAATGTGCTTCTGGCATAGAAACATGGCTCAAAGGAGGTAGTTTTCCCCTGAAATTTTATATTCCTTTTAACGTGTACAGCAACACTCAGATTTCGCAGATCCTGCATATCATCTTTTCTTGATTTTTCCTTCTTCAGAACAAAATGAAAGAACTAGAACTTCTGTGTTCAATGAAGGAAGTCTCCTTTGATGGAAACGACCTTGAAAACATGGTCCTATCACTGAGGTTAGTGATGTTATTATTAACTAAAGCTGATTTATTACCTTAATGCTCACAACAAAATGTGAAGATCTAGTTTCTTAACAGATGTTTTTAAAAGGTGTGTGCATTCACTAAATATTTTAGAGTTGGGACTCATTTGATAATTTGGAAATTTTGATTTTAACCTTCAGAAGTTAGCATCCAGGCATTCGAAACTGGGCCCAAAGAACTAAAACTGGCCACAGTTTATAACACTGCTCCTCTAAGGTGGGAGGGAAAGGGGAGATCAGCAGTATTCATCAGGGGACTTTTGCTTGATTTCCCCCGTCTTCTCACATGCTTTGTAATTTAAAAACTTTGGTTTTGGTAAACTAGAGAACGACTAAATGCACATCAGCCTTTCTTTATAGGGAGAAGTTCCTACAAGAAGTGAATTCTCTTATTCAGAAACCCTTGCACCCACTGGCTAAAACGAAGACATTAGTGAAGAGCTTAATGAACCGAGCGGAGCTCTTGCTGCACGTGACCATTGCAGCCCAGTCCGGCCTCACCAGGAGCATCTCGGGGACCCCTGCAGAAACACCGGGTACTGCTCAAAGCCAGCCCTGCACAGGCTCACCGTGCTAGTTTGTTCATTATATATACATCGGCTTCTTAAAAAAAAAAAAAACCACTCTCTGTACTCCCAGAAAGGACAAACAAGGAAATTTCGACATTTTTTATTTGGCTGTTTGCTTTTTCCAGCCAAGAACTGCTTTTCATTGACTTCATGTGGTGTTTTGTGAGTTAACTGAGCATCAGTGGAACTTGCCTGCCTTGTTCCGTTTTTCTTGGGAGCACCCAAGGAACACAATGACATGTATTTTTATAATTCCATGCCTCTTGTTTTCAGTCAGTTTGTCAGTTTCAGAGTAACATATATAATTAAATAGTCAACATTGGGGATCTTGTAATGCATCATATTTCCGTCTTTACTTGAAGCTGAGTTTACATTTCATCTTTAGTAACTAGGTGGAGACTTCTAGCGTGAATTTCCACTATTAATTTTTTTCCTGATTACTTTTTGTTAGCCTGAAAGCGCATTTCTCAGGGACATTGATGAGTCTTCTCACTAAGCCCAATCCACACCACCGGGCATAGCCCATAATAATAAGTGTTAGTCTTCCCCTGAGAGAACAAGTTGAGTAAACATATCCTTAAATGAAAGATTCCAAGCTATCTAGCCCATTGCCCGATGGACGCTGTCGAGCAAGCAAACTTATTTGCACCCCAGGTGATTGCCAGGGCTCCTCCAACCTGGGGGAGAAGTCTAGGCTAACTCCAGGTTTCTGACCCTGCCTTAGGCTACCACTCCCTGTGAACATCAGGGGAAATGTGCCAGGTGAGTGGTGTGATCAAGTGCCAGAATGGTCACCTTAGCCCTTAGACTTAACCACTCATTAAGGCTGGCGATGCTCTCCAAAAGGCTCTTGGTATCAGAGATGATGAACCAATGGTTTCCTCAGAGAGAACATCATCTTCAGAAATCTTGTTTTTAGATTGAAGCTGTCTAACCATTCTTAAGACTGATTCAAAATGACCTCTACTTTCTTAATGTATTTTTTTCTTAGCTGATCTTTACATGTAGTTTTGTCTTTTGCCATTAAACTGTTCTTTTATAGACCAACTATTTCCCTGGATAGGGTTAAGGAGTATAGGAATGGGCTGGTTGGATTCTAGCTCAAGCATGATATTTACTCATACCAAAAATGATCAAAGCAGAGGTGTCACCAAATGGCAGGTCAGCTAAATAAATCTAAGATTAAAGGGGAAACAAAGGCCATCTCAGAAAAATGGATCTAGATTTATTTGAACTAAGTTTTTCCTTCCAGAAATCGCTTTCTCCGTACTCTCTTGCTTTTTAGATTGCCTGTATTAAAGTGAACATTGATAGTTTATGAAATTAAATTAATTTTCAGCCTTTCTTTGGAAACCCAATTTGATAAAAGATTTTAGTTTTTCAATCTAAGATAATTTTTAACCTAATATCTAGGTTTAAAAAGGCCTAAAAAACTCATCAGTTTTCTTTGCCAGCTGGTTCAGTGGCTGAACTGTCATAGAAAGCAAAGATACTCCTAGACTGTTCCATAGTTCCATGTTTAGCTGTCTCTGCTGCCCTTCCAAATGGGGTAGCAGATATGTCAACCCTTTTATTCCTTTCCATTCTAGCTTGTAAGTCAGCGTCTGAAACAAAGGTGATCTCTCATGCTGTGAGACAGCCTGTTTTCCTTCGCAGCATGTCGGCTCCTTCTGACCTGGAAATGATTGGTGATGAAGATTTGGAATTTACTAGAGCAAATCAGAGGTAAATGGCTAATGGCCGGGCTTAGCTGCCCATGTGCAGCTGGATGCTCTTCATTAAAACACCCTCTGCGAGGGTCTCTTGTTTTGTGGCTCAAACGCGGTTTTGTTTTCCGTAGGCGGCGCCATGTGACCAGCCACCGCAGCAGCTCCTTTACGCTCCTGCAGTCGTTGGCCATCGAGGACAGCAGGGACAAGCCCACCTACAGCGTCCTGCTGGGGCAGCTGTTTGCTTTCATCGGCACCAACCCTGACCAAGCTGTATGTCATGTTTTGCTGCCTACGGATAGATGAATGGCACCTAACGGCACAGGGGGCCCTGTGACGGTTAGCAGGAGTCAGGTGTGCTTCCTTCTCGTGCATTCCAGGTGTCCAGCAGCAGCTTCCTTTTGGCTGCACAGACGAGGTGGCGGCGGGGAAACACTCGCAAGCAGGCCCTGGTGCACATGCGCGAACTGCTGACGGCAGCCGTGCGAGTCGGCGGAGTGACGCATCTTGTGGGTCCGGTGACGATGGTCCTTCAGGGAGGACCCAGGTAAGTTGTTCGTATCAGTCTAGACTGCCCTGTCCGAATGGGCAAAGCCCTTCCTGAGATGATTCTTGGGGCCAGGTCTAGACAGTGGTATCTGCTAATGTTTTCCCCTGAAATATTATATTTTTATTTTTATTTTTATAGAAGTATGTGATTTTGTAAAAAAAAAATTCAGCGCATATAACAGAATATATGTCTTTTTATTCACCTTTTCCTCCTAAATTCTACTCTGTTCGTTTAGAGCTCATTGTATCGATCACACATATGTAAATATTTAATTCTCTTTGTACACATAAGTGTGTGTGATTTTTTTTTTTACTTAATTCAGATTATATTCCTTACTGTAGTCTGAGCGGTTTTGCTCCTTTTTTTTTTTTCTCCTCTCTCCCCCTCTCTCTCTCTCTCTCTCTCTCTCTCTCTCTCTCTCTCTCTCTCTCTCCCCCTCCCTCCCTCCCTCCCTCCCTCCCTCTCTCCATGTCTTTACAAGTAGATATGCTTTATAGTTTCTTTAGAACTTCAGGGACTCCATCGTATGGGTGGCTGTATTATATTTAACTCTCCTCAACTGATGGATGCATAGGTTCATTCTTTCTTTCCTCTCTTTCTCTCCTTCCCTCCCTTCTCTCTTTCTTTCCTTTTTTCTGTTTTGTTTTGTTTTTTTTTTTTTTTGCATTAACAATAGTGCTTCAGTCAACATCTTTATGTCTATATTTTTGTATACTTTTGTGCTTATTTTCACCGGGTCAGTTTCTAAAAACATAATTGTAGATCCTGACTTAGAAGAAGGTTTTGTAACATTTTCGTGAGGAATTTTTCTGTACTGGTTTCCTACTGGGATTCAAAGATCTTTAGAGAGAAAATGGCATTTCTCTCTCCAAGTCCTGGACTGGAACTACTGGAGGCAGCTTGTGCCTCCTGGCAAGGCTCTGAGGAATTCCAGCCAGCAAGCAAAAGGCAGTGGCTGGAGGAAAACCTGTGAATTCAGAGCTAATGTGAATATCTTGAGCAATTTCGGTGTCAATCAGGAGAAGCCAGGTTATTCTTTGGAAACAAACAACTCCAAAATCTCAGCAGCCTAAAAATCAAAATTTTAGTTTCTGCTCATGTCCATCGCTGGTCCTTCTTGGCTCATGGTCATCGCAAAGGGCCCAGGGTAGAGGAGGAGATTATGATCTCACAAGCTGTCAGAGCGCTGGCTCATCGGCCAGAGGAGTCACGTGCCCGCCTGATCCCAGGGTGCCCACATGGCATAGCAAGGAACACAACCACCACAGCTCACGACTTTTTCATAACACCAGCACCATTATTCTTTTTCCCCTTAATTACTAATGTCTCATGTCAAACATTTGAAAAAATACAGAAAATCCCGAAGTATAAACTCAAAATCACCTGTAAATATAGTATCTTGAGATAAAACTCATTAACATTTTAGTGTATACTGTCTTTATTCTTACCATAGATATCTCCTATGTTTTTATTTATTTATCTATTTAAACACCTACAGCATCTGGTCTTCCTAGGTGGTCTCCCATCCAAGTACTAACCAGGCCCGACCCTGCTCAGCTTCCGAGATCAGACGAGTTCGGGCGTGTTTATCTCCTATGTTTTTAGTGGTTGTATAGCATAGTATCATATTCCTGAACTTTTATTAAGCCAATTCCCCAATTTTAAACCTTAGGTTTTATTTATTTATTTGTGCTGTTATAAACAATATTTTGTTGCATATCTTTGTAGATAAATCTGGATAGTTCCAGTTCTCAACTCATAGTGATTGCTATAGGATCTACCCTGAGTCGTGTTTTTACATTGGGAAAGACTTATATCAGCTAGAGTCTCAAGCTCTGCTAATAATTGGAATGTGAACTTGGAAAGGACACTTAGCTAATCTCTTTGGGCCTCAGTTTTCTCATTAGTACAATTGCATTTACAGTATTCAGTGCTGCAGGGGACTCTGTAGATGTGTCTCAAATAAATGGCTTCATTATTAAGTTTGGGAGATGTCGGGTACCGTTCTCTTACTCTCATATGGACTTTGTAAGGTTCTGAGTAGTCCCACGGCAGGGAGCGCTGCTTAACTTCACCTAACCTAGGATTTCCCAGGCTTTGCTGCATGTGAGTATTGTCTTGAAGCCCACTTAGAAATCCTGTCCAATGGTTTGTGGCCCTGTTTGGGAAATACCAGTGATCTCCGAGATTCCTTTAGTTCTGGATTCATCTAGATACTCTTGGGCTTCTCAGAAGAAATACGCTCTCATGTTCACTATCACTGTCCTTGACGTGGTTCAGGAAGCCTGAGTTCTGGTTCTATATCATAGAATTGAAGAACTAACCTGTGGCGGGATGGTCGAGCAGGTCCAGGAAGCCTTTGGCGAGACCATGACCTCTGTCGTGTCCTTGTGTGCGCGTTACCCTATTGCATGTGCAAATAGCATCGGGCTCCTGTGCACCATTCCTTACACCAGGTAAGCCAGAGAGTGCTTTTTATTGTTCATAAATTATACTGCAATGTAGTCGATTAGGTATATTTTTAATTAAAAAACTGGATTTATTTTGCTTATCCTTTGGCATTATCACTCTGATTAAATGAGCTTCCTCCTGACACCTGAATTACTGTGTAGATTCTTTATCATTGAGTTTCTACATGATCAGAAGTGTCCATTAGAAATTATTTTACATTGTCAGAATGGAGAGTTTTGAAGGAAAGTAAAAGCTCTCTAGGAAAATACTTACATATTTGGCAAAATTGTTTTGCTTGTGCACATTTATTTCCTCTCTTAGTCACTTGATTAATAGTTTGAAGATGTCAAGCACTCATAAAATCATTCTTTGAATCCCCTTGTGATAAAATATAATTTTTTCCTATCATGGCAATCGTGAATTGATTCCATCAATTTTTATTTTGCCATTCTACATGAAAAAATCAGAACTCGAAGCTCCTTATTTATGAAGGAAATCGTCATTCTGAAAAAATATTTCCGTGTTCAGTTATACATGGTAGTGTCCTAAGCTGTAGACAGAGAACTGTACTGACATGTTCTCTGTCCCTTTGATAACCTGAGTCTTAACTGAGAGGTTCCTGAGGGCCGGTCAGTTACGTTGATTTCATACAATGCTTTCCGCCTGGCCCAGGAGCGAAGAGAAGTGCCTCGTACGGAGTGGTCTTGTCCAGCTCATGGATCGACTGTGTAGCCTGAGCAGTCAGACTGAGTCCAGCTCCAGTGAGAAACAAACCAAGAAGCAGAAGGTGGCCACCATGGCCTGGGCAGCCTTCCAGGTGCTCGCCAACCGCTGCGTCGAATGGGAAAAAGAAGAAGGTAAGAAGCAGGTTTCCTTTCTAGAAAGCGATGCTTTCTTCTGTCGATGTGTTTGTTTATTATTTGTGCTGGATGGGGGAAAGAGAGGCTATATTAAACTACATAGTCGGTAGAGTTTAATCAATTAATGATTTCAAGAGAGCCTCTTCATCAGCACGGTTCTATGAAAATATATAGCTACACTATGACATTAAACAGTAGCCTAACATAGAGGACATGATACTGAGTGAAACAAACCAGACGCAGAGACAAACACTGCATGATCTCACTTATGTGCGGGATTTTAAAAGCCAGACTCATAGACACAGAGTGGTTGCCAAGGGTCGGAGGAGGGAGAAATAGGGAGATATTGGTCAAAGAGAGAAACGTTCAGTTATAAGATGAGAAAGTTCTGGGGATCTAATGTGCAGGATGGTGATTATAGTTAACACTTCATTGTATACTTGAAAGTTGCTTAGAGCGTAAATCTTAAGTGTTCCCACCACACACACAAAGAGAAAAGTAACTACGTGAGGTGATGTGTTAACTAACTTGACATAGTAGTCATTTCACAATGTAATGTGTATCAAATCACATCATCCACCTTTTTAAAAATTCACATTGTGTAATCGAAGTATAGACAAGTTTTATTTGGCAATCATACCTCAATAAAGCTGGGGGGCGGGGAGCAGAAATGACAACCACGTTGAAGGTGTACAGTAACCCAGGAAGCTGAGACGGTATCTTTTTTTCCTTCTTGTGAGCTTTGCTAAGTCTCCAAATAAATGTTTTTATGAAATAGTTTCTCAGTTGCATTTTCAAGGTGCTATTTCTCAGTTATGTTTTTGTTACCAATTCAATTTGAAAAGTAAACTTCAAGGATAATTTCTCCATAATATCCCAGGTCTATATACTATATATCTTGCTTATTTATCTGTTTATTCAGTATGCATTTTATTGTCTTAATGGCCAGGCATAAGATGAATAAGGCATTGTTCTTCCTCTTAAGACGTATGGTCCAATGGGGGGAATAGATCAATGAACAAATAATTACAGTGTAATCAGTGTCATGATCAAGGTGCATGCAAAGTGCTGCAGGACCATAGAGTTTCTTCAGACCAGTCATGCTTGGGATCAGGCAAAGCCTCCCAAAGAAGATGACATGTCAGTTATTCTTGAAGGATAATGAAGGATTCCAGGCAGAATAAACAGTGTGTGTAGGCACGGAGAACATGGGGGATTACCAAGAGAACATGAGGGATTCAGGAAATGGCAAATCGTTTTTGTGGCTTTCACAAAAGATGCTTGTGGGGTGGGGGAGCTCGAACCATGGTGAAAATAGGAAGATCCGAAAACTCTTTTATTGTGTTTGAGAAGAAGTAGAGTGTGAGTTAGAAATTAAGATGTTTTCATCACAGTAAAATGGGGATTCTTCACTGTCAATCACAGTATGTTCTTTGGTTTTATAAGGACTAATTCGGTTTTAATTAAGAATGATGTCTTTCCCCAACATTGAATCATTTTTCAGATTACTTTTACCGTTTTTATGTGCAGATGTTATCTAACGAGGAGATGCTAATGAGATTGGCTAAGGAAGTACTGAGCAAGTTAAAGAAAAATTGTGCAAGGGGAAGGCTTTGATACAAGGAGGCCAAGGGAGAGGTCTCTTCACACCTGCAGACTCATGTGGCTCCCCTGGGTTTTTACCAGGCTTTTTCTTTAACTCTGAAGGTGGCTCCACCGAGGCTGTGCACTCAGGTCTGGCCCGTCAGGTGTCCAGCCTTCTCACTAACCATCTGGCCCGAGCCACCGAGTGCTGTGGCAACCAGGCTGCTGGCAATGATGCTCTCCAGGACGTCCTGAGTCTCCTCAATGACCTCTCGAGGTATGGCAGGGTCAGACAAGGCTGCGGGAGAGGTGGCTTTCCTCTTGAACGACTGGGGTTCCTTTGGGTGGTGGTTGTCTGTCGACACATCAGAATTGCTGAGCTGTTCTGACATGTTTCTGCCTCAAGAAAAATAATAGAGAAGGAAGTCACTGAAAAATAGTATTCAGTTCCAAATGAAAGGACTATTTAGGTGAGTATCTACATCATAAAATATCATTTGCTTTAACACTTTGTTGGTAACATCTGCCAACCTTTCAAGTCATTGTATTTGGATTCAGTAACCAAAAATTCTTACCCTCATTATAGCAAGATTAAAGAATAATCAGTCAGGACCTAAAGTTAACTCGCTTTGTCGTGCCGTGTCTTTAATAAAAGATATTTTATGGAGGTTTAAAACCATCATGTGTGAGCCACGAGGCACACGAAAGCTTATGCACATAAGGCTGCTTGTTCTTTGGCTTCTCCTGGCCGCTGCGCCTTCTTCTCAGTGAACTGTGACACGTTCAGGCAGGTCCCCGACTGCTGAGGCCTGTGTGGCGCTGTGTGACACCTGTGGTCTGGAAGCCCTCCTTAAAAAGGAGTTCAAGGCTAACCTGTCAGGCTCCCGGTTGGGTTTCTGGGTCTCGGTGCTCAGTGAATCAGCTGAGCTACAGGATCTGAATGAAGTAAATGTCGGGGATCAGAAAATAGTCAAACATCTTTCTTTTTAAGTATTGGTCAATTGTGAGCGTTCATCAGATATTTACAAAAACCCCTGACTTCTCTCTCATGAAAACGTGGTGCCAAATCCACGTCCCCTTGTGAATCTGAAGGCATTGGCGCATTTAACCTCATCTAGGGAACCCTTGCTTCTGAATGTCTGTAGATCAGCATTACCAGCACCATGTACCTTTTCTTCTTTTCCAGGAGTCACATCGGGAAAGCCATCCTGAGCCAGCCAGCTTGTGTGTCCAAACTCCTCTCCCTGCTGCTTGACCAACGGCCGTCGCCGAAGCTGGTCCTCATCATTCTCCAGCTGTGCCGGGCGGCACTCCCGCTGATGAGCGTAGAGGACTGTGGGAACGTGGAGCTCCCACCGTGGAGCTATTCCGTCCCCTCCCTCAACAGCGAGCAGGAAGACCCCAGCGACCCAGCATCCAAGATCGCCTCACTGCTCTTAGCAAAGCTGGCAGATTACGTGGTCCCAGGTGAGCAGCTTTTGGATATGAGAGTGGCACTAAGGTGCCCACTTCCTGGGGATAGTCAGACTGAGCTTTCACCCATCCCGTGATAAAAGAAACAAGGGAGAAGGGACAGAGGGCGAGAGAGGGAGGAGAGAGTCCAAAACCAGTGTTTTCCCTGCCCAAACAACATGGCGATTTTTCTGTTTGCTTAAAGGATGTCAGACAGTTCTTTCTCCAACCGCTTCCGAACCTGACACCACGTTGACAAAAACCAGTCCCAAGAATTCCTTAAAAGGAGATAAGGATCCCGGAGAAGAGAGTGAAGCAGTAGATGGCAAGCTCTCTATCTTTATCCACAAGCGAGAAGATCAGTCATCCCATGAAGTTCTCCAGCCGTTACTAAGGTGACGATGATTGTAACAGCTACATGTCATCAAGCACTAACCATGTTCTCAGGCACTGTGCTGAGTAAGCTGTTTACACAATTCAACTGTCGAGCCCCCCTAGCAATCCTAAGGCGTGATCACTGTTATTCTACATCCCTGTTTCAGGGATGAGCAGAAACGCAGACACAGGCCTCTCCAGTCACAGCTTCACCACCACTCAGGACTGTCCCTCCAAACCCAACAGAGCAAACGTCCTGTTGAGAATGTTTTGTTTGTGTTTGGTGGAGAGTCTGTAGTGTAACTTGACTTTGAGAAGAAACAATGCAAACAACAGTGTTATTGGTGTTCTTTAGCCATCAATAAATTCAAAGATGCCGTGCACTGTGAGGTGGAGAAATAAGAGAAACTTTTTTAAAGCTTTAGTTCATTGAAGTATGAATGGAATGATTGCTCAGGTGTAAGGAAGTAAAAATATGTGATTATTGTCCAATGATTACAAACCTACGGGGCCCTGTTAGTGGGACCCGGAACAGCGGGAAGGCCTGCCACAGAACACAAGGGACTTTAGAGCAGGCATTTATGTCTTAGATGAAAGAGTCCTCCTTTTAACAAATGGTTTGGTGATGGTGTCATCCTCATAATCGGGTCCCTTGTCTGCCATCATGGCAACCGAAAGCACTCACGGGCTACTGGCATGCATTAAGTAGGGTCAGGGCAGGTCAATGCTCAGATGAAGAAATCTCCAAGAAACACTCTTGGGCATTGTGAAACGTCATGGTACAAATTTGGTGGCAGAGGAAGCTGAGTTATTAGAAAGGAAGATCTGGTCATTAATACCAGGGCATCAGATCCATGCTGTTGTTAAGGTCCCCTCACTGAGATTTAGATCACTTATCGAGTTCTTTGCGTGCCTAGCCCCCCTTTATTATAGATTCCAACTCTCAATTTCGTTCACTTCTTTAGTTTGTACATCATTTTCATGTAGGTTTTTAATTATCATTGAACTCTAAGAACAGCTGTTGTTTTGATCTCTAGAACTGCTGTAATTAAGCAGTAATAAATCATTTCCCTTTTGGAAAAATTGAGCCTTACTGTGGATTTTAAAAGCCTGTAATAGTGTATAATGGTGGCCTGACCATTGCTGGGTTGCCTCACGGCGTGCAGTCCCCACCTCTGACTGTGCCTGTAAGAGCCTTGCCTCTCTGCCTTCCCGTTTTAGTAGCTCAGAAGGACGACCCTTCCGACTCGGTACTGGTGCCAACATGGAGAAGGTCGTGAAAATGGATCGAGACATGACCAAGGTAAGCCCAATACGGAGAAACCTGCTCTGACAAGACCCACGATTGAAGAACATTTGCCATGAGTCAGATTTTCACAAGAATGTTTTTTTTTTTTAGTTAATTCAAGTCCCCATAGAGAGGCAGGGTAAGAAATTGGAGTCAGTGGCTCAACTGAGGCCATTTTCAAGAAAACTAGTCAAATCAATTTGTCATCAATAGTAAAATGTAAAAGAGAACTCTTGATTTTGACTTAAAATTTTTTTCTTAGCTCTGTTGGAAAAGTTTTACAGCCTAAAAATGCTTTAAAAGTGATAATAGGTGAAAGTCGGTAGAAAAAATAATAGATAATAAGAAAGATAAATAGCCCATCGAACCATAAAGATATGCCCAGGCTCACAAATTACACAGTATGTAAACAAAGGAGAGGAGTAAAAACAACAGTAATATGTCATTTTTTACCTACCAGGCAGATAAAATTAAAGATGGATGATACCCATTATTGTCAAGGCAAAGGTAGAGGCATTCTCGAGTAGCCAGAGACAACCATGTTCTTCAAAGTTCTGTCTGTAAACAACAAAATAGGACCTGTGTACTCATACACAGGAGGTTAAAGAAATTATTATGCCAGTTTTACTTCCATTTAAAAACAATTTTAAATCGTTTTTAAAAAAATTGTTATATTCATATATGACATACAACTAAAAAAGAGATCGATCTGTATATGCTGATACAGAAACACATTCATGATATTTTGATAACTGATAAAAATAAATGGAAAAACTATGTGTATAGTGTGATTCATGATTATGTATGTCATAATTTGCATTGAAAAAATCTAGAGGATTAACAGTTATCTGGAGGACAAGACGTTTATGGAAATTTCACTTCTTATATATAATATTTGAATTTTTAAAAACGAGCCCGGATTGCTTTGGGGCGGCGGGGACGGGTTTACAAATGAGAGCGCTGAGAAGAGTGAACTGAGTACTGGGACGTCTTCAAACTGCCCTCCAGGGTGGCTGCTGCGAAGTGATCACGGAGGAGGCTGCAGCCGCTCTTCGAAAAGCAACCAAGTGGGCACAGTCGGGCCTCATCGTCAGCGTCGGGCCACCTGTAGAATCAGTCAACCCGGAGACTGTGAGTGGACTGTCCACAGGTGACAAAAAGAAAACCGCCCAAACCTCCATTTGCAGAGAGAGGAACTCTGAACTCGCGAGGTAAAACCTTTCACAGGGTAGAACCTGTCTACACCCTTCTCAGATTCACTTCGTGATGGGTTTGTTTTAGGGTTTTGATTTTGTCACCCTGTTGACCTGCCGGAAATGAGCACTGAGGGCTTAAGATACCTGTCTGAGGTTGTGGTGGCTGAATAGGGAGGCACTCCCGGCTGAGTGGACGTCTGAAGCCAGAGGATTGTTTTTCTGAGAAGGGCCGCTGCCAGCAACACCAGCTATTAGTGAACTCTGGTCTTGCTGTCTTCTTCCGAATGATACGTGCCCCCAGCCCGCTGTATACGTAAGCTTTCTAAGACTGGGAAGGATGAACTAGCGTTGCCCTGGGAAGATGTTCTGTGTTTGAGACCAGGGCTCGAGGCAGCGCATCTTTCCTCCATCCTGCTGGCTTATGCAAGTTTGAGGATTCTTTAGTTACCAGAAAGAATATGAGACGAGCAGTTTCTTCCTAATGATAATTTAGCTTCTCAGTCAACAAAATCTACTTTTTCTTGTATAAATGGAGAATGTTTCCATCTGAGGCTAATCCTAAAAGCCACTTGTCTGCATTCTTTACCATCACTGGGCACTGACAGTTTTTCCTGTTGACACTTATAGGACTGACCCCGTCAGACCCTTCATCAGTGGGCATGTGGCAAACAGCATGGCCGCGGAGGTGATCGCCTTGCTTCATAGCTTATTAATGGCACCCGAATCAAATGCTGCTCAGATATGGACCACAACAGCAGAAAAGGTTGGTATAGTGTTAACTGCTTAGCAGAGGAAGCAAGAAGGAAGTTAGTGGTCTTTGAATCACCCCCAGCAGGAGATCTTTTAGTAGAGAGATTTCTCAAACTGGCCAATTGTACTTGTTAACTTTCCCCTGGAATTTGCTTTGATTTAGTAGTTTCAGCTCTGTTCACCTACATCTCCCATTGCTGCCCATTCTAATTTTGCAGAAGATAGGACAGTATTCTCAGGGAGAAACAGGGATCCTCCTAGCCTGTGTTTGGCCGGTACTAACATTAGGAAATCATGCAGCCTTGGTTTATTGGCTTTGTTAAGGGTGCTTACCAAGCCCCAAGGAGGCCTCTGTGTGAGTTACACTTCCTGAGCGCTCTGTCAGTAATTACATTATTACAAACAATAGTCCAGTTTCCTAAAAGCTAGAGATCCATAATCAATTCCCCTATCCGAACATAGTCATTCTCCAAGCAAACTCTTCATACTGTGTCCCCAAGGTAATTGGGTGTTGAGATATAGGCAGTATGCTGTGATGGTTTTCCTTCAGATAAATTTTTGCTTTATTTTGGGGGTGTTATTAATGTGTGTTTGATTCTCCCATATTTTGTGTATTTCCAGTTCTGTCTAATTACCTGAGGCAAATACGGCAGGAATGTCAGTGGTGATATCTAAAAGTTATCTCATCCTTCTGTATCTGGAGTTCCTTCAGTTCATGGGACATGGACATTGCCGTAGACACTTCATTCTCCTTAGTATCAAAATGGCCAAAGCTTTTACTCCTTCTACATGGGCTGCTTCTTGTATTTAGGTTCTGTCTCGTGCGCTGATGTATATTCCACAATTGGGAAAATATGCAGAAAGCATTCTGGAAAATGGAAGCAGTAGTGGCAGAAAACTCGCCAAACTTCAGAGAATCGCCCGCCAGGCCGTCGCCGCACTGTGTGCACTTGGAGGCTTCAAAGAGACAATCAAGATCGGGTCCGAGGTTCAGGTAACCAGCCACCAGTTCCCCAGGCCATTGCTTTCCTTCTGTATACCAGCATCTGTTGATTAACCATCTAAAACAAGTATCATCTACCCAGTTGGACAAAAATCCTTATTCCTTCGAGCTAAATAAGGAATCTGAGAAACTCATGATTTCTAATCCCCACCATGTTGCAGATTATTCAGATATTAGAACAGTAGCATATAGTGTTAACCATAATATTTGTGTCCTGTGGTGTCATTAATATTGACATTATTTTAGAACTGAAATTTTGAAATTAAATCTTTGTAATCACATCGACCTAAGGTTTTAGGACCTATTTTAACTCATGTTCAGGCCTTGGTTTCTGCATTATAATAAACTATTACTGTAATGCCAATAATGACAGCTGTAAATTTATTCTTCCCACTTGTCATGTCAGATAGTCGCTTAAACCGTCAGAGCTGGTAGATAGTACTAATCCACCTTTGTCTCTAGGTTTTAGGTAGAGGAATATCAGGAAGCATCGGAGTAGTCGCTTCTATCAATGAACAGGAAGGTATAGCTACAGTCAGATTCCCACCTATAGACTGTAGAAAGACTTCGCAAGCATCAGACACATTGACTATTCCATTGTCTAGACTTTGTGTTCCAAGATCAGAGGTAAGGTGATTTTTAAATGCATCATAAAATGTCACTGCAAATTTGGTAACCGTACTGTAATGAATAATATGTACGTGCACAGTGCAGAAGCACAAATACTTGGTTATCTGAAGTTTTACTTGTGATGTGTATTTCTGTACTGGAGATGATTATTTAATAGTAACATTTGTGTGAAAACACTTACTTAGGTGACAAAATTCAGTTCTTTGGTTGGAATTATTCTATTATGTATTGTATTCTTAATTGTTTTGGTCTAGTTTGCAATTTTGTGTATGGTGATTTTTTTTAACTGAAAATTTGAGAATTAACTCCAGATAATAATAACACCCTCATTTCTTATAAACTAACTACTCGAATTTAACTTTTTGCCATGCCCCCCCCCACCATCAGGCATTGCCTCTTCATAAACTGTCCATAACTGAGAAGGTAGTGCAGGCAGTCCAGTCCATGTTGCTTCCTCAGGAGGGAAGTCTCTCTATTCACACCTCACTTCCTGCAACAGGAGATGGGTCAGCTCCTGTGATGGCAGTCGTTCGGCTCCTGGCTGAAATCAGAACAAGGTGAGCACCCTCCAAAGGTCCCCTAATGTCTGAGGTGGCGCAGGCCACAGATTCAGGGGTTCTCGGGGGGGCTCAGTAGGTTCAGAGCATGAAGTTCGTGCCTCGCTGAGCAACAGCAACCGTTCTCTTGTGCTGTGTTTACTAACGTTTTGGTTGCATGTCCCAGTTTCTGCACTTTGAGATAAAATTTAGCTGTTCTCCTAAGAAAATAATCAAAATGCGGTATATAGAATGCATACACAAGGCTCCAGTGATTTGCTTTGTTCAGAGAACTTGGCTCTGTCACAGGAGTTCCTCTGTCACTTTGCCTTTTTAAAATGGTTCAGGCCACCTTAATACATATCTGGTCCATCACTGTCCAAGCCGATTTTGAGAAAACAAAGGAATGCTCCCAAGTGTTGACGTTGGAAAGAAAAGCAGCCTTTTCTTGCATGTATGGTCATTTACCATATATTGAATGGTAAATAACCATTAAACAAGAGTAACGAGGTTCTCTTTTGGTAATGGGACTTCTCAGAAAGTTCTCATATGTGTTTTTGAAACTGGTGAGGGAATCAGAAAAATACAGATTTTCTAAGCGTTTGGATTCCTCTTGTTCCCAGTGCACTAATATTGCTCCTGGAGCACAGTTTAGGAAAAGCTTTATGAGACAGTACAATGCTAATTTCTCATCTGGCACCTTGTGTCTCCGTGTAGGGGAGATGCCAACCATTTTTCCCCATTTGGGTCGTCCACGCAATGCCAGTAGTTACTGTTTAGGAAAAGAGAAGTTATATATTTCCAAACCAATCCAGCTCAGGAAAAAAAGCAAGAGGAAGGGGAATTTGAACCTTGTCATAAATTAGGGGACAAAATTGATGGAAATGTTTTTCACAGTTGACTTTTTAGAGAATGAACATTGATGACTTTGAAATATTGTAAATCTTTTAACATTAAGAGCATGCCTGGTCATGGCCCAGCTTTTGGAAGACAGCTCATTTTGTGAAGAATTCATACAACAGTGTCCAGCAGCTGTGGAGGTTCTTAACCTGGTAGCCCAAGAATGCAGTGCCGGTGAGTACCTGTCACTTCCTTACCACTGCCTCTAACTGGGCTCTGTCAGCACATTTACAGCTCGATCAGGAAATGTCAACAGTTTTCATACACACACCTGTCCAACAGCTGAGCTCTACAGGTACTTAGCACGACTCACTTTCATCCCTGATCTAGAAATGGAAATAAATAGCTTTCAGTATGTACCAAGCGAGAAATCAGCATTTTTTTAGTTTAACTTTAGGACCGTGTCAGAGTGGTTTTTTTCCCCCTCCGTTCAGATTAATTCATTGCCTTTATTTCCCTATTAGAACTATTTATGAGCTGTCCTTAGGGCTGCAGATACTTTGACTACTGTCACTGGCTACATTTAAATTCAAAGTCAAGAGTTTGCACTAACATCCGTCCTCTGTGTATATGTATGTGTGTGTGTTTATGAAAAAGTTTAAACAAATATAAAAATAGAGAGACTAGTATAATGAACCCTCATGTTTCCATCATCCAGTTTCAACAATTATCAACTCATAGCCAATCCTGTTTTATCAATGCTATACCCTCCTGGGTTATTTTTAAGCAAATTTTTAGATATTATTTTATCCCTAAATATTTTAGTATGTGTCTCTAAAAAATAAGGACTAAAAAAAAATACCACAATACCATTATCACATCTAAAAATTTAATAGTTATTCTTTAATATTATTAAATACCTAGTCAGTGTTAAACTTTCTCCTTTTCTTATAAAATCGTACTTGTTTTTACATATGTTTATTTGAGTCAAGGTCCAAATAAAGTTCATACATTGTGATTCATTGCTATGTCTTTTAAATTTCTTTTAAAATATAGATTCCCTTCAGTATCTTTTTTCCCTTGCAATTTATTTGTTGAACTGTTTCCCACAGTCTGGAGTTTGCTGATCGTATCTCTGTGGTGTTATTTAATAGGTCCTTTAGTCTTCAGATTTCCTGTAAATTGGTAGCTGGCCTGGGTGTTTTTAAGTGAAAATTTATTCTTTGTCCCCAGGGATATAATTGGAACCTAAACGAGATTGTTCACAATTAGATTAGCATTCCTCCAATGTTCTAGTGCTAGCATTTTCATAAACTACAATGAAAAAATTATCTTTAACTTCCTTACTGGTTTTATGCTCCTGTTATTATCCGTATTATTTACTTATTTCTCATGCCATTTGCTTTTACAGTAACTATAACCTTGTTTCTATCCTTAAATTTTTGTCCTTTTCCAAGTGGTAGTGGTTATTGTTGGTTTGCTTTTGCTTTTTAATTTGTCTTCATTCTATATCTGTTTTTCTTCTCATATCTACTTCCTCTAATAAGCATAGTGCTATGGAGCCAGTGACCATTAATAAATCTCAAAAAGACCCTTAGAAGACCCATAGAAAAAGGGCAGAAGAAAAGGAGTTTGCTAGACTTCTCCAGTGAAATTACTTGCGACTAAACTTGCGCCCATCATTTAGTTGTGTGCCTGTGATAGGGCCTTAGTTCCCTGCCTCTGCTTTCTAATATCCTTGGATTAGGTTGCATTTAAGACATTTTTGACTAATTTTAGCAAGTATATAACTTGCCAAATTAATCACTTTTCTATAAGACTCTTTCTGAGTATCCTCTGTTATACATTTTATCAAATAAGGAGACCTAAATTTGTGAAATGAACTGTGGTACTTAATGTACAGGCTAGAAATTGTAATAGTTTAGAGCAGTAATCTCAAATGGTTTTAATAACAACCCACCCTACCCTTTTTTTCCTAGTGTAAAAGAACTCTGTGGTAACAAAGAATTAGAAAGAAACGTGTGGGAAGTACTTGGTAATTGCTACAAAAGAGAAGACTACAAGCTTATACATGTCAGTTAATATTCTAAAATAGTGTCCAATGTCAAGTTTAACAGTCCTTAATATAACTCACTTATTAGGTTTCCAGAAAGAGCTGTGAGGTTGAAAGGAAAATATAAAGTTGCTGACTAGTCAGTCATTTACCTGTAAAAAACAAACCAAAAACCCCTGCATGTGGGTTACTTTGCAGCACGGCTTGCATTCTTATAGCCTATAAGGGAGTCATAGGCTATGCTTTAGAAGAAACGATGTTTCATAAATAAGACTCGTGGTGGTAGGTAGAGGAGAAAGTTCTTTGATTTTTATTTTTTAACGTGTTAATATTTTTATTTCATATATGAAAATGTTATAAAATTTACAGACAATATATTGATTCTTTAAAATCAAAACATTTCAATGAATTTTTCTGTTATTTTACTTCATCTGGGATGAATTAAGCAGCTGATTTGGCCGTTTCAGTGTTAACGCACTCATCTAAATTTTCTAGCTTCTACGATCCAGGGAAAAGAGTATTTAATTTCATTTGGTCTAGAAAGAGCACTTACAGCACTTTTCCCATGAAGAAATGTTCCTGAGACGTTAACTTGATCACTTAGTTGAAATAACATAGGAAACAGATTTGAAACTGAAGAAAGGCGTTGAGAAACAAACAAAAAGTGTTCTCAATTTTGTTCTTATACACCTACAGAAGCCAGAATCTCTCAAGTTCAACTGTTTCCTCTTCTCCCTAAATAGACATATTCCCTGAGCAAGAGGTTAAGTTCCTAAGAGTCCCAGGGAAGCATGTTTAAAATGCTTTCCAAGCTCTACCAAGGAGTCAGAAGGCGGTTCCGGGCAGTTGTCACACAGGAGGACCCCGGACCTCACCTGAGGAAACAGCTTTTCCCTGACCCACCTTCATCTGCCTTCAGTACTTCCATGGCTTCTGCTGTGGACAGTCCATCCCCTGAGATCCAGGCCTGGGGGCTGTTTCTCTTATAAAGATACCAATTTTAAAACCGTAGTCATTATTTACTCTGGAATCAGCTTTCTTCTCTGTCTTCCCTGTTTTAGGTGATACTCAGATGATTTTTGACACTTAGATACTGAGTCAAATATGAATCCTCCTCTCTGTCCTTGCCATATGTGATTCTTCCTTTGAAATGCTCCTGAAATTTATCCTTTTCTGCCCATTTCCACTATTAACTTTTTAAGTCACATACTTTTTATCTCCTGTTTAGACATCTGCATTATTCTCCACACTTGTCCTTCTTGCACCTTGTCTTTTCACATTGTCATCAGTTACTTTCCTGAAGCCCCATTTGAGTGGCTGATAGTCAGGGGCGTGGAGCTGTCACCGAGAAGCTAGCTTTCTTAAGTGTAGTTGCTACTGTGAAGTTGCCATTTATGGATTAGGATGCGCTTACTGCAGTTACCTGTTACTCTGGCCAAAGTACAATCTGTCTTTTCTTTCTGGAATTTGAACTATGGGAGCTTTTTATTCTCACGCCGGAATCTGTAAATTCTCCTCTTTCATGAAGCCTACCGCACAACAAATAAGCCTCAGCTCCGCCAGGTTAGCCCCTGCTTCCTTCCTTCTCCCTAAGACTTGCTGTTCCCTTGCTACTTGGTACAATTCCACCTATCCGCATTGAAATAGCTCCACGACACTTGTTACTGGTTGGTTGTAAGGACATTGTTGCAGATGGTCTTCATTATCTCATCTGGTATTCTGTGTAGAAGATCTCAGAATAATTTTTTAAAGTCATTTTAACAAAAATAATTGCAAAGTGTTTATCAAAAATAGGTAGGCTCTTTACAACTAATTAATGCACGTATATGTAATGGACTCCATGAGTCCTGTAACTGAAGAGTTTCCCTCTTTGATTTGTCTGTTGGGAATCACAGATCTAGACTTGTGCCCTCCTGGGTATAAATAAAGGACACCGGGCACACACCTCATGGCCTGACCTCACTCCTGCCTCCACTTGGACTTTCTTTGCCTCATCTTTCCTGTCGCCTTTAGTCCCTGACATCGGATCGTAGTAGCTGTCTAGTTGTCTGTAGATATGGAATGTCAGTAAATCTTTCTTGCTAAACTATCCCAAACAAACTCTGTGCTTTACTTTTATTGGACTACATTTTGCTCCTCCTAAGACATCTTTTTTAATTGAGATATACATGATTCACGTACCATACAATATACCATTTTAAAGTATAAAGCATAATTCTGTGGGTTTCAGTATATGCAGAAGTGTACAGCCATCACCACCATCTAATTCCAAAACATTTCCACATCCCTCCACTACCAAAAAAGTTCCGTATCCATGAAGCAGTTAGTCATTCCCTGTTAACCCCCTACCCCTGGCAACCACTTCTGTCTCTCTGGATTTGCCTGTTCTGAGTATTTCATGTAAATGGAATCTTACAGTGTGCGGCCTCTTGTGTCAGTCATTCCCTGTTAACCCCCTACCCCTGGCAACCACTTCTGTCTCTCTGGATTTGCCTGTTCTGGGTATTTCATGTAAATGGAATCTTACGGTGTGCGGCCTCTTGTGTCTTTTTTTTTTTTTTTCCACCTGACACCATGTTTTCAGGGTTCATCCATGTTGCAGCAGATATTAGTAGTTCGTCCCTTTTTATGGCTGAATAACATTCCATCGTATAGATAGACCACATTTTATTTATCCATTAATCAATTTATGAATGCTCGTGCTGTTTCTGCTTTTGGCTATTATGAATAATGCTACTATAAACATTCATTTACAAATTTTTGTGTGGGCATTTTAATTGTGTCAGGTATATATAGAAGTAGAATTATTGGGTCTTAACAGTATATTTAATTTTTGAGGAACTGCTTTCTTTTTTTCCAAAGTGACTGCACCATTTTACATTCCCACCAGCAGTATGAGGGCTCAGTTAATCCACATGCTAGCCAACGCCGGTATCACCTGTCTTTTTGATTATAACTACCTCAGTAGGTGTGAAGTGGTATCTCATTGTAACTAATAATGTTGAGCATCTTTTCCTGTATTTATTGGCTATTTAGGTATCTTCTTTGGAGAAATGTTTATTCGAATCCCTTGCCCCTTTTTAATTGGGTTGTCTTGTTGAATTATAACATTTCTTTATATATCCTAGATATCCTAGTCCCTGGTGGATATGATTTACAAACATTTTCTTCCATTCTGTGGGTTGTCTTTTCATTTTCTCAAAAGCGTACTTTGAAACAAAAGTTCTTCATTATTATGAAGTCCAGTTTATCTAATTTTCTTTCATTGCTTGTGCTTTTAGTGTCATATCTAAGAAACCATTGCTTGGGAGCATTTGAGATCTTGCTTTCCGGCATACGTTGTCAGTTTGGCTCAAAAAAACTTTCATAAAAATTTTAAAAAAAGAAAAAGAAAAAAGAAAAGAAACCATAGTCTAATCTAAAGTTATAAATATTTACACGTGTATTTTCTTCTAAGAGTTTCATAGTTTTAGCTATACGTTTTCTTAGGTCTTTGATTCATTTTGAATTAATTTTTGTGTGTCATGAGAGGTACTCCTGAAACATCTGGCTCTTCACTATACTGTTCTAGACTATTTTCATAGTGCCAAGCCATCCAGATTCCCTTTCTTCTCTGGTTATTGAAATCCTATCTTTTCTAAGATCTAATTTAATACTGTCCTCATTAAGCCTTTCCGGATCCCGGAATGAAGTCATCACTCACTCATCTGCTCCTGTGTTTGTGCTTTATATCATAACAACATATTATGTCACATATAAATCACATAATAATATGCTACAGCCTTGCACTGTGGTTTTTATTATATATATGTACACATGTACATGTCTTCTCTGTCCTCCCAGATTGGGGACTTCAGCTCATATATCTTTGTATTCTCTAACATCTAGCACTGCGCCTTGCTCATAGGAAATGATCAATAGGTGTTAGACTTTTAAAACATTGATTTAGATGATAAGAATAATAGCCTTCATTTACTAGGGGATAATAATAGCTTTCATATGAGAGTTTGCCTTGTGCAAGGGACTTGGCTAAAGCTTCTCCTTGAGTTATTTCATCTCATTTTCACCACCGTGTGAGGCACAGGCACTCTTATTATCCCCGCATTGAGAGTGAGATAGTGGATATTGAGTCATGGAGCTAGATTCTGAATCCAGGCAGCCCCACTCCAGAGCCCATGTGCTGGGCCACATTGCTATGCTGCTGAGCTGCGTGTGGCGGACAAAGATGTCTGGGTGTTTGCTCTTTTGTAAGAATTTGAAGAATCTCTGTAAGCATCTTATTGCTTCGACCCTACTCCAGAAGAGCTGGAGCCCTCTCAGGGTTGTAGGACTGGTTGACACGGATTCGATGTATCCCCCTCCAGGAGAGCGACTGGCAGTCGTGGAGGTGCAGTGTGAACGGCTGAGGATGCTCTACCGGGACTGCGCTCGGCCCCCGCCGCCGCCACTGCAGGCCGACCGGAGACAGGTGAGCCCTCTGCAGTGCACCACACCTGCCCGTCTGCAGTACGTAGCATCCAAGAATGCTGAGTGGCACGTTAATGATATTTAGAATGAGCAAAGTCATGTGGAGGTGTGTGCTCTGCACTGACATGCTGTCATCTTTGAATATGAAAGCACATTGATTGACATTCTGAGTATTAAAAGAGCGGAGGAGCAGAACTCGTTAATTTCTAAATTTCTATGTTATCAATAACAGGAAAAAACTTTTTCAAAATTTTAGATCCATAGTCTATTTCATAATAATAAGTATATATATGGAGAGTGAATGAGAGAGTGATTAAAAATCCAAAGTGGCAGAATGTTAACAATTGGTATCTGTGAATGTTCCTGGCAGCACTATTCATAATAGCCAAAAAGTGGAAACAACCTAAATGTCCAACTGATGAATGAATGCATAAGATGGGGCATATCCATTCAATGGAATATTATTCAGCCTTAAAAAGTAATGACATCATAATAGATGCTCCAATATGGATAAACCTTGAAAGTATGCTAAGCGAAAGGAGCCAGTCAGAAGAGAACACATGTTGTATGATTCTGCTTATATGTAATGTCCAGGACAGGCAAATCCATAGACGCAGAAAGCAGATTGATGGTTGCCAGGGGCTGGGAGTGGAGAGGGATAGGGATTAACTACAATGTGCAAGAGTTTCTTGTAAGGGGGACAGAAATATTCTAAAATTAGATCATGATGGTGGTCGCGCAACTCTGTGAATATCCTAAAAAGCACTGAATCATATACTTTAAATGAGTGAATTACATGTTATGTGAATTATATCTCAAAAATAACAGTGAATCTAGGTAGGGTATAAAAATTGTGGTATTGCAGTTTTTCTCTAGTTTTGGAATTATTTCAAAATAAAAAGTTAAAAATATATAAAAGAAGAAATGTCAGCTGAAATCTCAGCATCTCCAGTTACTACTGTCAGCATATTAACGTGAAAAACCTACAATTTTTTTAAACAAAAATGGATTTCACTGTCCTCATTGTTTTGCATCTAGCTTTTCCCCCTCTGTAGATGAGTACCTTTCCGTGTCAATCAATAGAAACTTAATAGCCCAGCGTTTCCTTGTTCCTCAGTTTACTCAGGCTTTTATTGTTGCAGATCCACATTGTCTATCATTTTCGCCCTAACAATGATCTTCACATCCTTGGGGCTAATCTTTACATGCATCTTTCCATTCTTTCTTTGGGATAAAAAGTGAAATTGATGGGTTTTTAAAAATATGCTTTTGTCTGATAGAGAAGCTTAAAATTTTATGATTAGATTTATTAAAAACTATGAACGTAAAAAAAATGAGGCAATTAACCTAAAAAAGAAAAAAAAGGGGGGATATGACCATATTACTCCTTTTTAGCTTTGAGCTGAATATTGCCATTGTAATACAAATTTCGCTAACTCATCGAACTAAAATTTGTCCTGTAACTACACTGGGACTATGGGGGGTGAGGGCCTGTGTGTAAGGAGGAGATATGTGAAAATTAAAACCTCATTTGTCATAGTAGAAGATAAATGATGTCTTCACGGGATATTAAAAGTAACATTATAAGCCTAGGAGAAATAGAGGTAATTAGAATTAACAGTTAAAAACGGTAAAAGAGTAGTTGTTTCTAGAGAGCGAGACTGGCCACGTGGAAGGAGACTGCCTTTTTGTAAATAAAATTTCCTTTGGAAAAAAATTATGCTTAAGAAAAAAGATTTACCTATGTTATAACACCATTAAATGACAACTATTTTTCTTCTTTGAGTGAGTAAAGGAATTCGTGTTTGCGATTCCATTGAATGAGGGTTTTTTCCCATTGTAGCCCAAAGAGATAACTTGGAGCCCCTCCAGAGTGTTCCCACCCGTCCGAGCCTGCATGTTCTCGTCACACCTTACTTCCGTCACCTTCCTGGCTGACCCCAGCGCTGGGGGCGGTCTGCCCCGGGGCACGTTTATCTATGCCACCTCACCACTGCCAGTTCAGGTAAGGAATCCCATGGCACACTGGCTTTTGCCTCTTTCCTTCCAATTTGAAAGAAAAAGCAAGTTCACGATGAGCCCTCTGATCATCTGCCCACTTCTGGTGTTTCTTCAGGCCCCATCCTTTTACTGGGAAATTGAAATTGTTTCCTATGGAGATACTGATGACGACACTGGACCAATAGTTTCCTTTGGCTTCGCTACAGAAGCAGAGAAACGAGATGGGGCTTGGACTAATCCAGTGGGCACTTGTCTTTTCCATAAGTAAGTGGCTACTATCACTGTTACTTGTAGATGTTTTACTAATAGAGTAATAGCATTATAATCTCTATCCCCCAGAAAATATATGAAACACTAGTTGGAAAGCTATTCATTTAGGGAAA